CAATGAGCTCAGTCAATGAGCTCAGTCAATGAGCTCAGTCAATGAGCTCAGTCAATGAGCTCAGTCAATGAGCTCAGTCAATGAGCTCAGTCAATGAGCTCAGTCAATGAGCTCAGTCAATGAGCTCAGTCAATGGCTCAGTCAATGAGCTCAGTCAATGAGCTCAGTCAATGAGCTCAGTCAATGAGCTCAGTCAATGAGCTCAGTCAATGAGCTCAGTCAATGAGCTCAGTCAATGATATATAAAGTCAATGTCAATGATAAAATCGGGTTGATCGGATGTAAACTAACGGTTTGGCTACGGTTTTCTCAACTCAATGCATTTTAAAAAACGCCGAGAGAGGAATATACTATAATAGAAATGAGGAAACAGATTTACGAGTTTCAAGGGAATTGTTTGAATGAAGAAAGGCACTGTTAGCCGGGTAATCACTGTTAGTCTTGAATACTGATTTGCCTTAGAATTTTCGATGACCGAACAAAGAAAGCAAAGAAAGCAAAGCTACAGGAAAACTTGTCCAGTAACAAGACGATCTTATGATGGTCTTGTTACTGGACAAGTTTTCCTGTAGCTTTGCTTTCTTTGCTTTCTTATGAGATAAGATCAACCATAATCTACCATTTCTTTCAAAAACAAGATCATAAACAATTTGAATGAGATAATAGCTTGATCCAATCTTGCTTTAATTGCTTCAATGCTTCAAAAAGTTTTTACAAAGTTTACGTGTAACACCTAGTGAAAAGAGGTAAAAGATTGGGAAAGTTTTTCTGTTTGAAATTTGATAGTCGTCTCTGGGAAGGCTGTTCGTTGATCTTCTCAACAAATTTCCTTGAATTTAGAAAGATTTGCAACATTTTGTGACCATTATCTCATTTTGAGTTTCATTTGAAATAAGATAAATCCGATTTCTTGAATTATCAAGCATATCAAGCTATTCAAATGCTTTTAAATTCTTATTTTATCTTTTCGAAACGTTTTGTTCAACTTTGTTGTTGTTCAATCTCTCATTAAGCGTTGATAAAAGTCTGCAGAGGTTAAATGCTTCTCCAATAAATACCAATTTATAATCTGTTTCTTCTTTCGGTCTGATCTGATTTGACAAAATACTGATTAATAGAGAGTTTCGTTAGAAGTTTGTTAATAAAGTTTTTTTTTCGTTAGAAGTTTGTTAATAAAGAGAGGGTACTGATGGGGCAATGATTATTAGATATTTAGATATTTATTCCGAATATAGTATATCTAGTGTAGTATAGTACTAGTACCGAAGTATGGTATAGTACCGAATATAGTACATCTAGCGTAGTATAGTACTAATAGTACCGAAATATAGTATAGTACCGAATATAGTACTAATCGAGAGCGAGAAATAGTACAATACAATAATACAATAAAATAGAATCAATCGTTTGTTCAGTGTTTCAAAGCCAAAGAAAAGCAATACAAAGTGGGCTTCGTCTCCTTTTCTTTAGAAGAGCTCGTTGTTATTATGGATTGCTATAACACAAACAATCTTTAGAGGAAAGACAAGAGAATCAGACATATTCAAAATCAAAACATTAAATAAGATTTCACAGAAAAAAGCTACTTTTCTGCAGAAAAGTAGCTCTTTTCTGCACAGTTTTGCTCTTTAAATGATTGATATCCTTAAAGTTCTGCATTTCAAGTATTCAGCTTTGTTTCTTAAAGATTAATTCCTTTAATTAAGCCTAATGACTTTAAAAATCTTCTATAGTGTAAAAAAGACTTTTAACTACAAACTATATCACTTTAAGCAATTAAGCTACATGCTTAGACCTTCAGTTTATGATAGTCTAGACACAGTTATAGCCAGCTTCATTAAGCTATTGAACGATTTTTGAATTATCCTTTGATCTCCTTTGTTTCCTTTGATCCTCCTTGTTTCCTTTGATCAAAAAGTTTTGCATATTACAAGATCTGCAAGAGATCCTCTTAGTTCAACCCCAATTCCCTTGAAACTTTCCTGCTAGACTCATCTCTCGAAAAGCTCGTTGTTATTATGGATTGCTCTTGAGAGAAGGACAACTTTCAGTAAAAGGCTGACATTGAAGAAAAGAAACAAAAAAAAACTGATCTGTTGGAGATCACAAAAAGACTCTCTTGATCCTTTCCCTCTTTTCCTCATTCAATGGGTTAAGGGGAACAGCAACAAATCGATTTCGCCTGGTAGTGGCCCCCAAATCCATTTCATTTCGTCCTATTGATAGCCTAGGCTTTTCGAAGATTCGCGAATGATTTTTGATTTGATTATCCAGATTTGATTATCCAGAAGAAGCTTTTAAATCTATTTAAATCAAAATTCCTTTTTAACAATATTCAAATCGCTTTAATGAATCGATTTTTAATAAGCCATTAATATTTTCTTTTTCTTAATCTTTTCCTGCTTTATTCACATCATTACAATAATTTCTTTAAACTTTATCAATCCTAAAACTTAAGCCATTTCTTTGTACTCTCTCTATTTACAAGCTTTAGCTTTCTAAGCTTCTCAGCAATACTTACCGCATTTGTGATCTGTTACAGCTTCGATATATAATTCAAATCTCATTCCATTCCTATCTCTTGATCTTTTTCAAAAACAAACCAATTTCCCGCTTTTAGCTTAAACTTTCTTTTTGCGATGTATTCCATTTCGGGTGCATCCAATTGTCTTCCCTTATTAGGCTCACTTGTCCCCAAGGGAGGATGAGTGAAAAGAGAAAATGAAGTGAAGAAAGGAAAGGAAAAGAAGCTGGGAATTCAGGGAAGCTGAGGAGGCTCACGAGTAGGCGGTGATCAAATGAATTCCTTCATTTCTTTCCTTTACTATTCTACTATCTTGTTTTGCACCTTTTCTGTCGCATTCACTAATCTTGTTGATCTTGTTTTTCTCGGGTTGCTCCAGGGAACTAATAGTAAGACCTGGCTTCTGATCTTGTCTGGTCTGGCTTTGCAGGCTACAAGGTTGTTTCTGGCTTCTGGTCTTGTTTTCTGACCCTGGTCCTGGTCTGTCTTTGACGTAGCCTTGTAGGATTGGTTTCTGCCTGTGAATCTGCTGAAGTTAGAACTGAACCTGGCTCTGGCCCTGGCCCTAGGATCCATTTACATCATTCTTGATGATGGCTTGGTCCTTGAATCTTATTTTATCATCTCAATTTCTTCAATTCTATGCATTTATCAAGAAGTTCAGAGCTTGCTTTCAAATTTACAATCAATTCCAGCTTTGACCGATCAATTCAACTCTTTTTTGATCTCTTCCTCAGCCAATTTTGAGAAACAATTTCTGAAACTATTCTCGTTTACACAATAACCATTTCTTTTTTTCATATTCTTTTCTTATACTCAAAATTCAATCAATCCTCCCCTCAATTCCTTTTCAAATGATAAACGTTACCAACTTGGAGACTTTTTCGTTTTCTTTTTTTAGTTCTTTGCCTTTCCTTGAAGCTCTCCTAAGTGCCTTAGGGGTTTGAAGCAGAAAAACGGGGAGGAACTTTGCAAAGGGAAAGAAATGAAAGGAAAAGGGATAAGGGAATGATGACAAGTCGCCACATATTCGAGTGGGATGACTGATGGACATCTGATTATTCAATAAGGGCTAGTACTACTAATAAGACTACGAAGCAGTCTTTCTAGACTAGCTCTTTTATTTCACAATCTCTTGGAAACTCTTCGCTTTTCTTATTAGACAAATCTCTAGAGGGGTAGACACTTATCTCGACTTTGACCCTAATTTTCTCTATATTTTTATTGGTAAGTCTACAAAACAAATTCTATATTTCTTTAATCAAATTTCATGTAGATTCTAATAAAAGTAACCGTGAGTTGATTCAACTTTTTACATCTTGAGTTATAGACCATTTAAGTGGATCGACCCTTTCATGTAGGCAGTCCAACTTTGACCAAAATTTTCTCTATGTTTTTATATTAAAGTGTAGTGTTTGTTTTTTGTTTTTCGTTTTAGCGATGTTTTCTTATCCTTTAGATACAATTTATTCACTGGACAGCTAAACTTTTATTCTTTTTTTTTGGTGAATCAAATCGAAGACCATCTTTGAAAGGAGTCTCACCTTGGTCGATCTCCAAACAGAGGCTCTCCATGCTGAACAATTGAGTAAGTTCTTTATCCGTTAAACTAAATGAATACTAAACTTTATTTCTTATTTGCTAATGTTTTTATTTCATCATTTTTCTTTCTGATAAGTTATTTTGAAGTGTTTTATCTATTGGGCTAAGGTATTTCGATCCAAAAGAAACAAACTTCATTCCAGTCCTTCATTATGAGTTCAATCTATAAAATATTGAAAATATTGCACATGAACGGTGGATTTAGATGGATAAATGCTTTGTATTAGAAGAAGAGAAATCGGTAACGAGCTAAGCCTAACCCTAAGCCTAAGCCTGAGCCTAAGCCTAAGCCTAAGCCTGAGCCTGAGCCTGAGCTGAGCCTAAGCCAAAGCCAAAGCCAAGCCTAAGCCTAAGCCTGAGCCTGAGCCTGAGCTGAGCCTAAGCCTAAGCCAAAGCCAAGCCTAAGCCTAAGCCTAAGTCTGAGCTGAGCCTGAGCCTGAGCCTAAGCCTGAACCTGAGCTGAGCCTGAGTCTAAAACCCAGACTCTCAATCAGTTTCCTTTTTTATCCAGTATGTAAACGATTTTACAATAATTTTTCTTTAGAATCTAAAGATTCTCGACTCGAAACAAATCTAATCATCATAATTTGCATAAAATCTTGTGAAACCAGCCTTACTTCTTTGAGATTTTCTAGAATTTCCTAGAGCACGCCCTCCTTTTATGTATACAAAGGCTGTGCAAGGGTAAAAGAAAAAGAGTGAGGGGAGGGGCCATCGCGTGCCCATCTTTGTCCATCTTTGTCCATCCCTTTTTCATCCCCTTCCAACAAGTTTCCTCTTTCGATTCTTTTCAAAAGCTCTAAACACGACATAAACTTTCCCTTCGTTTAAATTCAATGAAGCCTACATTCTCCTAATCGATTTTTTTTGTGCAATGGTCCCATTAATTCGAGAGCTTTACCAGCAACTCGTTGACAAGACGTGAGTTTTTTGGTTTAACAAAAAGCTACTTGATTCTTGAATTATTTTGAGAATGACTGGTTTAAATTTCAAGCAATGTTGATAAATTTTCCAAGAGAAACTGATAATTTTGCTGGAGAATGGTAGAGAAAAGCTTGTACCACTTGTACCATTAATTAATGGTAGAGAAGAGCTTGTACCACTTGTACCATTATTTAATGGTAGAGAAGAGCTTGTACCACTTGTACCATTATTTAATGGTAGAGAAGAGCTTGTATCACTTGTACCACTTGTACTATTATTTAATTGGTAGAGAAAAGCTTGTAACACTTGTACCATTATTTAAAGCCGTGAAGAAAAAGTCGAAATTCCTTGATTTACATAAGAACTATTTTGATAAACATGCCATAAATTTTAATTTAGAAATTTGGATCTTGATGACAACCCATTTGAAATATAAAATTGAAAACAGTCGAGTAAGAGCCATTACGATTTTATTAATTGAGTTGGATCTAGGGAAGATCAAAAACTTTTGCGCCGCCGAGATTCGAACCCGCGGCCTTTCGCTTACCGAGTAACTGTGCTAGTCATTACACCACAAAGCACTCGATCGCTACAGAGGCAGTTAACTACTGTTTATTTACTGATTCAAATTTCTATAATTTCTAGTATTATCTAAAGCTTTAGTGGCTTAAATGATAAAAACGAAATCCTAGAATAGCTTGGTTTACATTTCAGTTGAACCAGTTACCAGTTAGCAGTTGAAACAATCAGCTTTAAACCATTAAAATCAATCAATCTGAAGAATATCTTCTAATTCTTACAAGGGATTTGAAACAAAATAGCACAAGAACCTTTCTTATCTTTTTTATAAATGGCTGACTGGCTAACAGCCCTGATCAAGGGCTGTTAGCCAGTCTTAGTTTGGAGATCAAGGATTCAATCCCGCTAGACTATTGACTACCATATATATTTGGGTTTTTCTTCCCTAAATCTAGAGCTTAGTTGTGCTTGGTTGTTTGTCCCTTATTATTCGTGTATTTTTAAAAGCTTTGACACTTTACTAACTCACCAGTGCAACATTAATGCCATCAAAGCTTTTTCATAAAAGGCTGTGTTTCCTTTTTGAGGTCTTTTAACTGAAATCCGATCTCGTTTCTTTTTTCTTTTCTTCTTGTTGTGTTCTTTTATTTTCGTTGATTCTAGAGGAAAATCCAGAAAAGGGAATGGGCACTCTCTTCTGATTAGATGCCAACAATGAAAGAATCAAAGACAAAAGAGAAAAAAAAGCACAAGTTTTTCAGCTTAATGGCTTTTTAGGATCTCAGAAAACCAGGAAACTGTTAAAAAAGCTGAGTGGTTAAAATAATCAGAGTTTTACAGAACTAGCTGAAGGCTTAGGTTATTAGGCTTAGGCTTAGGCTTAGGCTTAGGCTTAGGCTAGGCAAGGCTTAGGCTTAGGCTTAGGCTAGGCAAGGCTTAGGCTTAGGCTTAGGCTAGGCAAATTAAGCTTGAACACAATGACTCAATAAAGATTAAATTTAGCTTTAGAAATATTAAAACTATACAAAAATAACTATTAGTTAGCTGTAAATTGTTATTTTATTCAAAATTTATGGAAATTTATTTATTTATCTGACGGGTACCGTAAATCTTTGGTTAATCTCTGGTTTGAATCCAGCAGATGAGCCAGGGATATCTTCCCCGAACCGAATGCTGTAGGTAACCGCACCCATATGGTGAACTGGTTCTCAAGACCATTCTCCCTAGGCCCCTTCCCGTCGGGATTGGGATAACCAGGGATTCAAATGGGTAGACTTGTCTAAAGCTCAAGCTCATACAAAGCAGGTAGACTTGTCCAAAGCTCAAGCTCATACAAAGCAGGTAGACTTGTCTAAAGCTCAAGCTCATACAAAGCGGTTAGCCTTCTCCTACATCGTCTCCTACATTGTCCCATCCTCCAAACGATAGAGTATTCCCTAGATCTTAAGGTGTAAATTGTTATTATGTGTGCGGAAAATAAATCACCGGTAACCCTGGTATCAATTATTTATTTCAGGAGATCGAGCGAGGGGCGCGCAATGGGGCGTCGCGGCGGTGGAAAGGTTTGAGAAAACTTGAAGTTTATGAAATATTTCTAATGACTTCGATATTCTAATATTATTTAGTTTATTCTTTAAAACGATTCTTTCTTAGGGTGCATACGATATCATAAACGAGGACCTTTTCGACTGTCGAGTGCCCGTTCACAACGAGGTCGCCTATCAACACGGAATCCATTTTGAGGCAAAGGTTCGAAATTTTTCATAGTTTTTAGAAAATCTAATTGTAAAACGAAAGATGAATATATTAATTGTTTCTTTAAAATAACAAGTTCCTAGTAAAGCTTTAGTAATTCTTATGGCTTTCTTTTTGGACTTCTTTTACCCAAAATTGAAAACTCACACTTTTTGGCATACTTTTGTCTATTAATTCTTAATTTAAAAGCTTTATGCAATATAAAATACATCTAGTAATTCAATTTCTCAAAATTCTATCGATTAAAAACCCATTTTGTGTCGAAAAATGATGCCTTTTAACTCTAAAGTGCAAAGTCGATCTTATTTAAACCACTCTCGATCTTCTTTAAACCTCAACCATTCCATCAATCATTCAGTAACTAGACTTCTGGCTTACAGTTTCTTCAACTTCTCAAACATCACTCTCTTTACGTTATTTTAACTTTATTCACCCATTTTTTCTTGTTCTTTTTCTTTGAATAGAAGGCTATCGGTCTTCCCTGTCGACGGGGTGATTCCCATGGGATTTTTGAAAGATTTGAAATGTTTGAAAGACTTTCTTTCCCTTATTCTTCTCCCATACATCCCCCTTCACTCAACTCATCTCCAAACAACTAAAATTCCCTAGGGAAAACACAAAAAATAACCCCCTCTCATATTTTGATCGATCCCTTTGATGGTTGAAATGTTAACGAAAGAGAACTTAATGATAGTGAGGATTTTCATTCAGATTCCCTAGAGATACACTACTGGACAATGAAATATCATATTTGAAAAGCGATCGTCACTTTCGCGCGTCTGTAACTCCCTTGTCTTTACCGTATTTTTAATTATTAATATTACCATTGTGTAGCCCTTGAAAAGAGCTTTCAGAAAATGTATAACACTAATAGTTTAAACTCAAAGACAAGGGAGTTACAGACGCGCGAAAGTGACGATCGTTTTTCAAATATAATATTTCATTTTCCAGTACTGTATGTCTGGTGAATTCCAATCGATCTCGTTTTCCTTAGATTTTTGCTTTCAGGACTTACTTTTCAGCTGTACTTTGTGTTTTCTAGTGCTTAAACGGAGTTACAGACGCGCGAAAGTGACGATCGTTTTTGCAAATATCATATTTCATTTTCCAGTAGTGTACATTTAGAACATTTAGATTTATTTATTTAAACTTTGAAAACATTTAGAGATATATTTCTTTGTCATCCAATAATCAAACTTTGTTCCAGGACAGGGATCTTGTTCTTTTTTTTCTTTCCTTAAATATTTTTATATACTCGTTTCCGTTTCATCAATCCTTTACCGCTCACATCCATGAATGAAGCACTTGTAGAGCTCTTGTGAAAGCAATAATGGAAACAAGATGTCAAAATGAAAGGTGTCAATTTGATGACAATAAAGGTTTTAAGAATTAAGAATATTCCTTTCAAAGCAAACTCCAAGCATACCAGTGCTCTCAAATACTAGACACTACTTTAGATCAGATCCCTCAAGGGATCCCTCAATCAGATCAGATCTGTCAATTCCCTCAAGGTTTAACTCCAGATCTAGGCCCAAGTATACAAGACTAACTATAAATCCCTTTGCATTGATTCTCATTCCTTTACTCATTCCATCCATTCCATTTTAAGTATGTGTGTACTAATCTCCAATCAAGAACGGGAACAAGTTGAAGTGAGAAAGAGGAGATCTGCAAATGAGGCCATTTCTGGGATTCTGAGATAGAAAAGGAGAGTAGAAAGAAGTAGGAAGAAGTAGAAAGAAGTAGAAAGAAGTAGAAAGAAGTAGAAAGAAGTAGGAAGAAGAGTTCAAAGCCTAAAGTAAAAGAAATGTTTCTCGAAAAGAGATGGATGAGTTCCAATCCATTTCGAAAAAGGAGAAAAGAAGAGATCCAATTGAAATGTTTGCAAGGGATGAGACAACTTTACTTCTCTTTGTGTTAATGATGCGATGGAACAATTGGTTGAGAGAATTCGAGGAAATGCGGGAAAGAATGGGAAAAGAATGGGCATTTCATGAAGAAAAAGAGACAGAAATTGTAATTTTAGATGATCAAAAGAAAGGCAACTGTCAAAAACCCAACTTTCCAACCCAACAATATTCCTGATTCAAGGTTGTAGATAAACTTGCCTAATTCTTTCACAGAATCTGGTTAAAACTCTAAAAAATATATTCAAAAAGAAGAAACAAATAAAGAAAACATATCAGTAAGGCTTTAGAAAGAAGTTAGAGTTGAACTTGTCGAAGCTATGAAGCTAAATAGAGTTGAACTTGTTGAAGCTAAGGCCATAATCCCCAAAAAATGATTTCAAAGCTTGTATTTAGCTTTAATTGTTATCATGCTATGTTATCTATTTAAAAATATCATTTAATTATCTATTCTTTGATCTTTAAAGTTAATGAAGTTAAGACAAGATAAATTAAAGTCGAGAAGAGGGATCTCCTCTATGGATTCCCTCTTTCCCCCGTCATCCACTAATTACTCAATCTATCTCTTTCCCATTCATTCAACAATTGACTACGCAATGAAAACAATTCTTTGTTTTGCTAGACAATTAAAAAAAAAGAATGTTAATGATCTTTAGTGAAAAAAAAAGATTTCACCAAAGAGCACAGTCAATAAGAAGGTGCTAATTGTGTAATGGAAAATCACTCCATCCATCCACACGGGAACCAGGGATCCAAATGGGTAGACTTGTCTAAGGCTCAAGCTCATCACATTTGTGCCTTAATTGTGTAATGGAAAATATGCAAATTTTTTCAAATAAATGAAACTCTGTCTTAATTTTTCAAATCTCTGCATATTTTTAGTATGTTGGAAGCATGGAGATTCCTCGACCCGGCACACGAATCGAGATCGTCGCGGCGATGCGGCGAGTTCGAGTCAGTTTTCGAGAACATTTCTCAACTCTATCATCTATTTCTTTAACTAAAATTTGACTAAATTCTAAATCTGAACTTCTTTTTCAATTCCTTTTCCATTTTCAGTACGAATTCAAAGCTCGGGGCATCAAGAAACGTCCGGTTGACATCACCGTGTCTGTGGATGGGGTTAAAGTGGTGCTACAAAGGAAAAAGGTTTGTTGGGCTAGGATTTAGAAATAGAAATCTATCTAGTTATGATCATTTTAAAAGATTAAACTATTAAAAAGCTTGGCGATAGGGTAAGGTAAATAAAACATCGCTCTTTAAAGAATCAGAGTCAGTTTCAGAGTCAGAACTTGCACTTGGCCACTTCTTAGCCACTTCTGCATAAAAATATTTACTTATTTTTGATTTTAAAAGTGTAAAAGGTTTAATAAAGATAAAAGACTATTAGCCAAATCATTTTTTGACTAAATCAAGCTTTGCTCAAGAGTTGCAGGCTTGGACTTAGGCTTAGGCTTAGGCTTAGGCTTAGGCTTAGGCTTTTAGGCTTGGACTTAGTGCGAGGCGCTAGCCGCTAGCCTTCGCACTAAGTCGCACTAAGTCTATTTGGGTTTGGGATAAACCCCCATTTTCTGGATCTCAGCCAGTTCTCGGAGCTAAGGGACACCCGCTTGGCTTAGGCTCAGGCTCAGGCTCAGGCTTAGGCTCAAGTCTAGGCTTCAAATTTCAACAGAGATCACTATTGTATCGTCTACTCTTTAAGGCCTTAACAAAATTCATTCTTTACAAGTGATTCTCAAGTGTTTTCCTGTAAATCGGATGAAAGAAGGACTTCTTTGGCTCCGCGCTTCCGAATATTTGATTAGATACACGAGAATCAGCCCTGTTGGAGGGAAGACCCATCCATCCACACGGGAAATCACATTTGCGCCTTTCAGAGAAAACTTGGGAGAAAACGGGCAAGAGTGTGAAGGGATCAGAAAGGGAACATCGCATCTTTTCTTATATTTGGAGAAGCTCTCAACACAAGATTAACTTCAGAGTACCACGGGGCTCAAGCAGAAACTTCTAAAGTTTTGAGGGTTCAAAAAGTTTCAGTAAACAGCAAGTGTAAGAACCATTGGAGGGAAAAGTATTTAGTGGATCGATTTTTGAATTCAAAGATTCAAATCAAGATATCCATAACTTATGACTTTGATAAGCTCAAGCAAAAACTTTAAAAGTTTTTTAAACTCTCAACTTTAACCATCTGTAATCTGTAATCTGTAATTTGTAAACCTCTGTAAACCAGCTTAAAAAGTAAGGCAAATCCAGAGCACCAATACATAAGACCGAAACAGAACTTTAAAACTTCATAAACTGTCAACTTTATCCATCCGTAATCTGTAATCTGTATCTGTAAACCTCTGTAAACCAGCTCAAAAAAGTAAGGCAAATCCAGAGCACCAATACAGAAGACAGAAACTTTAAAACTATATAAACTGTCAACTTTAACCATCTGTAATCTGTAATCTGTATCTGTAAACCTCTGTAAACCAGTTCAAAAGCAGGCAAGTCCAGAGCAAAATACGAAGACAGAAACTTTAAAACTCATAAACCCTTAACCATCTGTAATCTGTAATCTGTATCTGTAAACCTCTGTAAACCAGTTCAAAAAGCAAGGCAAGTCCAGAGCATAAATACAGAAGACAGAAACTTTAAAACTTCATAAACAATCAACTTTAACCATCTGTAATCTGTAATCTGTATCTGTAAACCTCTGTAAACCAGTTCAAAAAGCAAGGCAAGTCCAGAGCATAAATACAAAAGATAGAAACTTTAAAACTACATAAACAGTCAACTTTAGAAGAACAAAGACTCATGGGATGAGTCAAAGTTGCTCATCATGTTTCACCCTGTTTATCGGTGAGAATATTTTATCATCTGTAATTTTAGCTTTCAAATTTCAGGATATTTTTCGTCTCCCACGATTCCCAGGATCTCCAAATCTTCTCTTATATCGCAAGAGACGGAGCGTCGAATACGTTCAAGTGCAATGTGTTTAAATGTTCAAAAAAGGTGAGAGATGAAAAGTTGTGGTAACTTTAGAACTTAAGAATTAGCTAAATTAAGAAATCTATTGTTTTATAACAAATATAGTTGCTGTTAGTTAGCAAAGAAATGTAGATTCAATTTTTGAAGCCATTTTTGAAGCCTCCTTAACTTTTTGTTCCCGTCTAAGCACTGGAAAATTGTGTGAAGCCGCAGAAAGGATAAGAAAGATTGAGAATCTGAATGGAGACAGCTAGCTGAAGACAATAGCTAATAGAGCTAAAGGTGCCATTGTGATGGGAAAAGGGAAAAGCTAAAGGTTTTGAGAATTAAGAATATTCCTTTCAAAGCAAACTCCAAGCATACCAGTGCTCTCAAATACTAGACACTGCTTTAGATCTGATCTGCCAATTCCAATGCCAATCCCTCAAGGTTTAACTCCAGATCTAGGCCCAAGTATACAAGACTAACTATAAATCCCTTTGTATTGATTCTCATTCCTTTTACTCATTCCATCCATTCAATTCTAAGTATGTGTGTACTAAGCAAACAAATATAGATTAAATTTTTAAAGCCATTTTTTGAAGCCTCCTTAACTTTTTGATCCCGTCTAAGCACTGGAAAATTGTGTGAAGCCGCAGAAAGGATAAGAAAGATTGAGAATCTGATAGGTGGCCAGGTGCCATTGTTAGGAGAAAAGGGAAAAGCTCTCATCCAACAAGAAAAAAGGGATAGTTGGTGTGACTTTCAGTGAGTCCCATCCACCATTCTCTCACTCAATTCAAAAGAAATCGAAAAAGAAAGAGTCTTTTGTTTTAAACGTTGCAAGATAGAGATTTTTGAGAGAGAAAAACTTGGTGCAAAGTGGAGAGATTTAGAGGAATTTAGAGAGATCTAGGTGAGAAGTTTAGACAAAAGACAGTTTGAAGGTAAAGCTGCATGCGTGAAGGATCTAAAGAGGAGCTCTTTTGAGCGGGTAATGGATTCCGATTGTGTAGAAGGCTTAGGATACAAAAGATAGAAGCTTTCTTGAGCTCTTTGGGTAAAAAGATCTAGATTGTTCATGTACAGCAAAGAGATTTAGGATTGAAAAGATAGAAAACTTTTCCCTTTATCGAAGAGCGACAGCTGCTTGCCCTGTGTCCATGCGCTTGATCGAAGAGAAAGCTCAACCCTTTTGCAATCCTTGTCCTCCTGTCGATCCTTTTCTTTACCTCACTTCTTTTTTTTTTGCTTCAACCGATCCGCCTCCCCACACACGCCTCAACGAGGAAATTTCGCTCATCGATCGATCGCTTTCACCTAAACAGGCCTACTTCAAAGAATCTTTTCAATCCAAGATCTTAAAGCCTGATCTTGGAATTGGAATATTATTGGCTCTATACTTGGCTCTATACTTGGCTCTAAACTTGGCTTTAGACAAATACATCAAACTTTTCAATTCATCATTCACTTCTTTACATTGGATATCCTCTATTCATCAATTCTGTATTCTCAAATCAAAAAAAAAAGCCAATCAATTCCTATTTAGCTTCATCAACTTTATCAAATTTTATTTTCTCAACCTCTTCTTTTTGCTTTAATTTTCATGGGTTGAGACAAATCAAGAAATCGGGGAGAAAATGATCCGCTCGGAGCCGGACGAGGATGAATTGGAGGTGCCACAAGAGCACAGATTTTATTATTTACGGTTGATGGCTAAACCGGGAAGGGAAAGACCTGAACCGATAAAGACAAAGTTTGTGCGATGGAGTGAGCCAGAAACGGGCCCAAAGGGGCCATCCGGGTCTGATGATCCAATTTTAGAGGTGAGGAAATGGTGATATGATTGAAAGAATTCTCTGTCGAACTCTTGAGTCCAAACTCTTGAATCTTATTCTACTTTATCCCCCAAATAACGATCTAATTGTTAGCAATCTTTCTTAAATCAATGATAGATAAGTAGATTTGATTTGATTACTTTAAAAAGATCTCTAACTCTCTATTTGAGTAAGTATGGGCTTTTGTTAATTAGTAACAGATAATATTGAATCATTTTTGGCTATTAGTAAGTCTTTTGCATCGTTAATTGTTAACCATTTTCTTCTTAAAATAATTTTAGAACCGTTACAATCGATCTTTTTTCAGAAAACTCAAAATTCTAAAAACAAACTTTAACATCTTGCGTGGCGGTCATAAAACGCGAAAACTGGGAATAGGGAGTAGAGATGAGTAGAGAAAAGAGAACAGTTTCTTTATATCAGTAGAGAAAAGAGTTATCCAGTTTCTCTATATGAGTAGAGAAAAGAGTTAGGCTCTTGGCTCAATCAAAACGGTTCAGGCGCACAATGGCGAGAAATACGAATTGGAAAGGTGGGCTTGATATCAAGGCCTGATATCAAGGCCTGATATCAAGGTCTGATATCAAGGTCTGATATCAAGCCCATCTGATAAGTTCATAGCGCATAAAACCTCCCCCCAAGATAACAACAAGGTTTTGATACCTTTAGCGGTTGGAGGAACCTGTTGTCATCTTGGGGTCATCTCATCCTAGCCTCCTAGCCTAATAAAAGAGAAAAGAGAAAAGAAAAGAGTTTAAAAAAAAGACAAACTGGTGTTCTAGAGAAGGTAAGAAGATCTTTAGATCAAAAAAGAAAACGATCCGATGACGCAGTTGGGGGATTCACTTTGTATCTTTCTTAAAGTTAAATTCTTTTTCTGAAAACCTCTTGTGTCGATTGAAAACACATTGCAAAATGTGGGGGAAATGTTGAGCTAGGAAAAGAGTTAGGAAAAGAAAACGACAATAGCTAATAGAGCTAATAGAGCTAATAGAGCTAATAATTGCTGCTATTTCTTTTCATTTTTAATGTTTCAAGATGAGGTAAAGAAATTGTTAACCATTTTTTGTTTATAAATTTTAAGAATTGATTGATAAGTCATGTAAAAATCTTTAGAAATATAAATTTTCTAATTTTAAGATTTTCATTTTCAAATTCATTTCAAAATAACAAATTTTAGAGCCAAGCAATGCGGGTGGTGCGCACTATTGGACAAGCGTTTGAAGTTCGTTTTTAACCCAAAGAAATCATTTTTGCAAAGTACAGAGAATAATTCTCATTGAATAGAAAGTTTTGTCTTAAATCTTGCTCATTCAGGTGTGCCACAAAAATGCACAAGAGCAACTGGCTGAGAAGCACGAGGATGAGGCGACGAAAAGTAAGCAGTGACAAGATGATGTCACAGCATTAACTAGAGTTTGTTCCTCGCGAGTAATTACTCGAGTAAATTTGCATGAGTAATTGAGTAATGCGTTTTCTAAAAAGTGCGCCTGCGCGAAAAAAATATAAAAGCAATTTTTTGCGCAGTTTTTGGGATAGGCTAGTTTCTGCAAATTTCTTTGCGCAACAGGGTCATTTGCATCCCGTGTCACCGAGTAAGTAAGGAATCAGTGAAAGTAGTGGTATTTCACCGTTGCCGAAGCTCCCACTTATACTACACCTCTCAAGACTCTTCACAGAGTCAGACTAGAGTCAAGCTCAACAGGGTCTTCTTTCCCCGCCGTTTTTGCCAAGCCCATTCCCTTGGCTGTGGTTTCGCAAATGGGTCATTTGCGCAACTCACCATAACTTTCTTCTAAGTCGACCAATCTTTATGATTTTGGTTTCATTTTGTAGATCTAAATAAGTGCAACAAAATGACACCAAAATCATAAAGATTGGTCCACTTAGAAGAAAGTTATGACGAGTTGCGCAAAAAAAAATTACGGAAACTAGCCTACCCCCATTTTTTACACTGGAAGGGAATTTCCCACCAAATCAGTTAAACGGCTGAGTATCTTTTAAAAGTGTCGTTTATAATTCGGGGCTCGTCATTTTTTTGCAATAATTTTTGCTAAAAGTACGTTAATTTTTTCCCAAGTGTGCGTTTTAAAAAAACGCATTACTCGCGAGGAACACACTCTAGCATTAACTAGTATTGTTTTGAATTTTAAAATGCATATCTGATCAACAATGACATTTCAATTAAATAGAACCTGTAAGCTTTCTAAAATAAACAAACTTTCTGTATTTTCATTGACAATAGACAATAGACAATTATTTACTCTTCCTTCCTTTCTCTTTCTTTCTCTTTCTTTCTTTTCTCTTCCTTCCTTTCTCTTTCTTTCTCTTTCTTTCTCTTTCTTTCTCTTTCTTTCTCTTTCTTTCTCTTTCTTTCTCTTTCTTTCTCTTTCTTTCTCTTTCTTTCTCTTTCTTTCTCTTTCTTTTCTGCCAAGAAGATACCGAATAGCTGAGTGGTTAGAGCATCTGCTTGAGGCTTCAATTCCCTCTCCAGTAATCTTTCTTTGCCAATCAAATCTTTGCAACAATTTCAATTTTAGCACTCGTTACATAGCTTGACTCAAAAGTACGATATTTTTATAGACTCTAGACTTTGCACTTTGTTAATGTTGTAAGATGAGATTGTATGCACACTTTAAACTTTAAAAACTTTAAAAGGTTAACTTTAAAAAAGCTTCTGATCAATATCACCAAAATGCCAAAAATCCTCTTTTCACTTGAACAGCTGTAAATCCCCTCCCGCAAAGTGGGTAAGTGATCTATCATCGGCAAAACCCATGTTTCCCCTCTTTATCTTCTTGGACAATCATCAAAATTAGTTGATTGATTTGAAAGAGCCTTTGGCAGAACTTCCCTCATAATTTTTTAGAGGTTTTCAGCTTTCGTCATCTTCTCAAATCTCATGAAAAGATGGCGTCAGTTGTTCGACTTTTTTTTCTCCTAAAAGCTTTTTCACTTTTCTTTTTTTTGTTTGAAATTTGAGGCGATGACAAGAATAAGTAGACAGAGTTGGTTGGTAGACAAAAGAAAAGAGAAAAAGAAGAAAGGGAAAGAGATAAACAAAACAAAACTAACTAAATGTTGAGATTTATGAGCTAAATGACAAGGGAGGGTCAGGTTCAAAGACATTTGAGCGCTCAAGGAAATGAAATAAAGGATGAATTTTTGAATGATCAGAGAATAGGATAGAAAGATCAAACTTTGCTGTTGTTTTTAAACTGCTATTGCCTATTGCCTATTGCCAAGTTAAGTGTCAAAAGTTTTGATAGCAAACCATTCCTTGGAATTCATTTTGTAAGCCTTGAAACCTTTGTGCTCGTCCAAGGCTCATTTCATCTTGGAAACTTATAGTTAGTATCTTAATGATATTCTATATTGAGATCAAAAGACCGATCAATGTTTTTCACGAGCATATCTTCCAAAACAGCCGAACAGGAGATTGAACCCGGCTCGTGTGGGCTGTAGACAAGCGCACTCCCAACTGCGTCACGGCGCTCCCAACTGCGCCACGGCACTCCCAACCACGGCACTCCCAACCACGGCACTCCCAACCACGGCACTCCCAACCACGGCACTCCCAACCGGCCCCACGGCCCCCACGGCCCCCCCACGGCACTCCCAACCACGGCACCCCACCGGCCCCAACCACGGCACCCCAACCACGGCACTCCCAACCACGGCACTCCCAACCACGGCACTCCCAACCACGGCACTCCCAACCACGGCACTCCCAACCACGGCACTCCCAACCACGGCACTCCCAACCACGGCACTCCCAACGCCACGTCCGCCCCAAAAAAAGCAGTTTTCTAGCTAGATGACGCGTTGTCGCCCTGTCGGGAGCAGTCGGGAGCGCGCTGGTCTACAGCCCACACGGCTACGGCGTGAGCCGGGTTCGACCCGCCTAAGTGCCACTCAATTTGACTTTTTTTGCTTTTAAATGCCATAACTATATTATATTTCCAGACTTAAAAAAAATATCAGTTTTTTGGCCTAAAAACGGCTGAGAAAAAAGCCCTCACAGACAGACACTGCTCTTTTAGATAGTAGATCTGCTTGAAATCAAATCAAATTTACCCCTAACCCTCTCAATTTAGGATCTCTTCAATCCGAGGAAGAGGCGGCTGTCGCAATTGGTCTTGACGCAATTGGAGAAGGAGCCGAACAAGAAGAAGACGAAGAAGAAGAGAATCCATTGAGGAGGATTGTTGAAGAGAATCGAGACTCCGATAGTCCGATTGAGGCGCCGATTGGGCCATTGTACGGGAAAAGGATCAGTTTGGTGGGTGGTCTTTAGGAATCTTTCTTAAGTCATCCAAAGCTAAGATAGAAAGATTAAACTTTACTGCTGTTTTTAAACTTCTATTGGTCAAGTTAAGTGTCAAAAGTTTTGATAGGAAACCGTTCCTTGGCATTCATTTTGTAAGCCTTGAAGCCTTTATGTATTTTTGTATCTTGCTTTTGTCTAGAATTTATCTTTCTAATGTATCAAACTCAGTTACCTTTTTTCTATTAGTAAAATGAGAAAGGGTTTTTCATTAATGCCTTATTTTGTGCTATGTTTGAGGTGAATGAAATTTGATTCCTAAAGTTGTTTCCTAAAGTTGCTTCCTAGAGTTGCTTCCTAGAGTTGCTTCCTAAAGTTGCTTCCTAATGTTGCTTCCTAGAGTTGCTTCCTAGAGTTGCTTCCTAAAGTTGCTTCCTAATGTTGCTTCCTAAAGTTGCTTCCTAAAGCTGCTTCCTAATGTTGCTTCCTAATGTTGCTTCCTAAACTTGCTTCCTAATGTTGCTTCCTAAAGTTGCTTCCTAAAGTTGCTTCCTAAAGTTATCTATAGGTTTCTTAATCTTACAGGAGACTTAATCTGGCTTTGAGTATTTAAAAATAGTTACCAGAACTTAGATCAGAAAAATTCTAAACTCTAAAATTATAAGGATCCCGAAAACAGGATAAGCTTAGGCGCTCAACTAGCCATCCCGTGTTCGATTCCCCAAAAAAACCTTTATCTCCACCTTTTTGCCCTTCCACAAACTCGTGTTCTTCGTTTTTCCTTATATCTTTTCCATAAAATACTTCTGTTTGGACTCGTTTAATTTACCGCTATCCCGTTTTCTCTTGATTGATTTCATTGGCTTTAAAAGTCGCAAAGGATTGAACCCGATAAACACTGTCAGCTGACACTATGGCCGATCAAACCAATCTCTAACTTGAATTGAAAAAGACCAATCACTATTGATTTGATTATTTTCTTTCACTGATCTTTGTTATTCAACTAACAATAGCAAAAACTTTTGAAATGTTGATGTCAAGGAGGGAGAGTAGAGTTGTTTCTGTGAAATCATTTCGACGAGACAGCAAAAAGGCAAGAGTTTGGGTTGAAATTTTGGTTTTATCATTTGTTTTCCTGTCTTCTTGATTAGCTAGACTTGTTAGACTTGTTATGTAGCAAGACTTGTTAGCTAGAATGGTAGCTAGACTTGTTTTCAAAAGTTTTAAAGTTCTCTGTTTTAAAGTCACTCTATTTTATGATCTTCTAATCAAAACTTGTTTTAGATCCCTAAAGATTCTTGTTTTATTTCTTTTAACGTTTTTCTTTAGTATCAATCTCGACGAACATCCGACGCATCAAGTTCAGCAGGAACAGCCATCGATATCACTCAGTTGCCCGGTCCATCCAGTCAGCTACAGCCAGGGTTAAGTCCGGTGGAAGAAGTCTCCGACAGTCATCCTGTAAACCCTCTTCTTGTACCGCAAGCGTGAGTTTATTCAACAATTTACAGGATTCCAAGAATGACTAATTATCAACTCCAAACAAGAGTACTTTTCAGCTTATCATCTTTGAACCCCTCCCGTCCTCATCAATCCCAACCAAGCACAAGCCAAGCCACACAATCACATCAGCAATTCCCACAAATCCCTGCATATCCATCAATGTATCCAGGTTTGTTAAAATCGAATAGAATAGAATTTGAAATTAGAATTCAACACAATTTCTAGGCGGTTCCTCAACACTTCCCCACTCAGCAACAATGCCGGCTCAATGGCCACAAATGGGGCAATACCCATCAGTGCCACAAGAGCTGCAGAATGCGAACGCAGGAGCGGTACCTTTCTATCCAGTAAGTGCTCATAAAGTTTTAATCAAGCATTAGACATCAATGAAATCAGAAATTCATCAGCTCATCTCTCTATAAAGTTTCAGATGCCTTATGGAATGGCTCCGTCAGGTTCATTACCTTTTGGCCTTTCATCTCCTGTACTTGGCCAAATGGTTTCCCCATATGCAACGCTGCAACTACCACAGATACCCATAGATCCAAACAATCCGGACCAAGCTGTGCACTTGAGTCGGAGTCTAGATCAGGTTGGGAAAGCGAACTTGTAATGAAAGAGGAGCAAACAATAAACTTGTACTTGAACTTGTACACTTTAGTACAATCAACAACTCATTCGAGCTCAACTCGATCAAGCTCAGCAAACGGCTCAAGTCGCTGGATGTCAAGTACAACTATTGAGAGATCAATTGACTTCAGAAACGACAGCAAGATTAGAGGCACAGGTAAAAACTTGTAAAACTTCAATTTCAATCAATTTTCTAGTCTCGAACTCATCAATTGTTGAATGCAAATCGGGAACTCTTAGAACAAGTTCAAACTTTGGTCCAACGATTGCAACATTTAGAGACAAAGATCACGCAAGAGATTCAACAAAGCACAGTGCCGGTGAGTGAAGAAATAAAACAAAGTGATAGAGCTTACAATTCGAACTTTCAATTCAAACTTTATCCAACTCTAGGCCCCTGTTGCTGCCTCGACACTACCGAGAACCTCAGCGCCACCAATTGGTCAATACGCTGCCGGAAACTTTGAGCCAAGGCCATCGGGAACACAGATTCCGCAAACGTATAAGGTAAAGCAAGCAAGTTTTAGATCTCAATGATCTCTCAATTTTAGCCTCAAATTTCCACTGAAGTTCGAGCTGGATCATTACCACCACAAAGGGCTGAAATAAAGCGAAGACCACTTGATGAGCCAAGAGATATTCGAACAGAGCCTGAGAGTAACAATGAGGACACCACGGATTACTCGTCTAGTGATTATGAAAAGGTTTGGAGTCATAGAACAAGTTTTTATCAGCTGGGTGCGTGAAACTAATTACTGTTTCCTGAACTCTTAAAGATGTTTAAACTTACTAGTTAATTGGGTTTAAAGCTAGACCAAGCTTTAGCTTATTATTTAGCTTTATAGCTTATTAACCTAGACCAAGCTTTAGCTTATTATTAATCGACTTAGAACCTGAGCTAACCTTGAAAACCTTGAAGACATCTTCGTTACAGGTAACTCAACAACGAGCCGGTCCTTTCATGAACGTTTTGATGAGCAATCCAATGGCTTCTTATCTCCCTTCTCAACATCTCGTTATGACTCAAGCGGGAAACCAAGCCGCTTTGAGAACAATTATAGATCGAGTGAGTTGATTGGCAAAAATTGGATACTCCACACAAATTTCAAACCGGTGGAATAAGTTTTTCAGTTGAACTCTTCTAATGAACACGGAGGCTTTGTAGAGGTGAGATGCTAGAGAGGAGGATTTTGAGCTTTTTTTTTTGAGCAGCCCACTTTTTCAAAGCGATTTCTAGCTTTTTCACACATTCTCTTTTTGTTTTTTAACAATTTTAATTGGAAAATCGTTTTGATGGTTTTTGATTTTAGGTGGCTGATGATGGACAACAGCCGGGTCCTTCATCGACTCCGCCGACAAAGAAGAAAACAGCCGGTGTCTTTGGGCATAAAGAATTCTCAAGGATGAGCTTCAATCCAAAATTCCCGAAACAGAAAGATGTAAGTTTTTTGGTGAGCTAAGATTTTGGTGAACTTTTGAACATTGGACTAAAAGGCTTAAAGGAGACAACTGTAAGTATTGGAAGGTAGTGGAAGCTATTGGAAGCTATTGGAAGCTATTGGAAGCTATTGGAAGGTAGTGGAAGCTAGTGGAAGCTATTGGAAGCTATTGGAGGTAGTGGAAGCTACTCAAGTACTTACAGCTGTAAGTACTCTAAAAAGTCACTCAAAATCTGCGTTCAGTACTTGGAACTTTTCTGTTTTCTTCGTTTTCTGTTCCATGGCTAATAATGAGTCTAATTAATTCAACAGTTTGGGGTGCGACCCGCTTTAACCTTATCATCGAGGATGATTTTGCTTCAGAATAGCCGAATTGCACAAAAAGGTAAAAAGGGTTTCCCCAAAGCGCTTACAACATAACAAGAACGCGCAGCATCCAACACAAGATTAATACTCGTCGGTGGCGACACAAATGTTAGTAAGCTTTTCCTACAATGTTAAACCCGCTATCTAAACAGGATTTAAAACCTGAAGGGTAGCATAAGGTAAATTGAGTTTATAATTTTACTGTTTATTAGTACAAAACCAGAATGCAACGATACCCATTACAAAAACATTAATAGAATCATCAATAAAATCAATAAAACATCAATAAAATTAATAAAACATTAATAGAATCATCAATAAAATCAATAAAACATCAATAAAATCATCAATAAAATCAATAAAACATCAATAAAATATCAATGCGCATCAATAGAAACAACAAATTCCCCCCCAAGAAAGAAAAAACAAAAGAGACCCGCAGACCAAAAAAATAATTTCGGGAAGGGAGAAAAAGACGAAAAATGCGACGCGAATAATTGCAAAATAGGAACGCAAATAGGAAGGAAACGGACGCGACCCAACAAACAATCAAATCTAAATTTTGTAGTCAAGAAAAGTCAACAAAACAAAACAAAAGTGTTTTAGAATCCGGATGAGATGTTAGAAGAAGAGGAAGAAAAGGAGCGATCACCCGAATTTAGAGATCGATTTAGAGATCGGCCAGGGAGTGAGAAGAAGAGAAAGGTTGGTAAATAAATAAGATTAAGATAAAGTATATAATTGATTTTACAGGACAAAATCACGGTGGAGAGTTTATTTAAAAATTCTCCGGAGCAGAGTCCGTTGAGAGATGTTCAACGGAGAGACACAACGGCTTCGGGAACAGGTCAGCAATTGTTGATTGTTCTTTAAAAACTATAGCTTATTATAGTGATTTAAAAGTTTCCATACAATAAAGTTAATTTCAAAATGTCTTTAAAATGTTTTAAAATGTCTTTTAAATGTTTTAAAATGCTTTAAAGTGTCTTTAAAATGTTTTAAAATGTCTTTAAAGTTTTAGCGACTATTCTCAGCCTGTTCATTCAGGCTCTAGGGTGTTGGTTGCTTGCAACGTCTTTAGTGTCTATCTGTATCGTGGTGCTAAAAGCGGAAAGCATTTTCGACGTTTTCTCTATGAGAGATCGCAACTTGTTTTCATATCTGGTTGATCCTGCCAGTGACGATATGCTCATGTTAAAGACTAAGCCATGCATATCTTAGTTCAGCCCTTTTACGGATAGAATGGCTAATTCTCAATTTCCAGGAACTCTAAGCATACCAAAATCGTACGAGCCGGTGTTAGCTAGTGACAATTTGGTAACAGCTATGTATCCACCGATTCGAAAACCTATTGCTGTAAATGTTGCTAGAGTAAGTTTTTAAAACTATAATATTGTTTTATAGAAAATTATTTTAAGCCTAAATTCGAAGTGGTGAAGAAGAAACAGTTGCGATCGTTGTCTATAGAGATGCCTGAAGAAGAAGCCACAGAGATGAGCAATCGATTCAGGATTCCACAAGGAAGTCCACCAAATAACAGGAGGAAAGCTGTCGAGAGCTTGTTTACGACAGAGGATTTGATAAAGTAAAGATAAAGACAGATTTGATAACGATAAAATGGGTCTAGCTTTAAAGCTAACAAATTAGTCTAACCCTTTGACCACATCAAGGACATCTTTCCAGATAGAACTTCGAGATTTAAGTCATAGTCAGAACCAGTTGAACTTGTTAATGAAGCCAAAATCCTGCTCTTTCGGGATTAATCTTCAGTAAGCTTCATCGGCTCTTCAGTAAGCTTCTCTTTCTTTCATTTCTTACTTTACTCTACCAATGTTCTGATCTTCAAGTAGTTGTAAAGAGCCGGGTAGCCGAGTATTTCTTCTTTCTTCTCTGGCAAGAAGAAACCAAATAGCTCAGTGGTTAGAGGATTTTCAAAGTTTTACAAGTGCTAGAAATAGATCTAAAACCAATTGCGATAAGAAATCGTTTTAATCAGATCTTTTTATAAGTAGGAAGAATAATAACTGGATCAGTGACAGTATGGCTGTATTTAGTATTATTCATTCCTAGGTATAAACGGATGTGGACTAGGATTTGGGTTAAGTTAAAGAGAGTGGATCCCTTTTGATATCCCGCCATCTCTAACACACCGACAACCCAACTCAACTCCTCCAACGGGAGTCCCTGTGAAATGACCGACCTGTACTGCAGTTGCATAGACCCGGAAGATATGTATCTTTATTTACAGTAGTATAATAAGACGAATAGATTACAAATAAGTGTAAGGGGAAGGGGGGACTTCAAATGAGAGTCTCATTTGTCCTCCTAGGACCCAAGGCAATCCCAAGGACCCAAGGCATCCCAAGGACCCAAGGCAATCCCAAGGACCCAAGGCAATCCTTCTTGGCAATAAAAGGGATAAGCACAGGGGAGGACAAATTTGCATAAGAATAGACAAATCATTCAATAATAATAATAGTAACTAAAATATCAGTTTGGCTCGGAGCTGACAGTATTGGCTTCCCCAACTTTAATGTTTAAATTTCAAATCTACCCCGAGGGTTCAATCTTCAATCAATCAAATCTTCAGAAATCTTTCTTCCTTTCCTTTCCTTACTTTATTATCAATTTCAGTCGAAACGTGCTCTCAAAAGCGTCGGATCTCCATCGATCTCCAGATAATCGAGCTAATCATCGAGATTTTGCCTCTTCTCGTGTCCCAAATGGACAACCGCCACAATTTTAAAACGTAACAGCAAAATAATGATATCAGAGTTGGTGAAATTTGTTACCGTCTTTGTTTTTAAAAAAAATAATTAAGGGATCTGAATGATTTTCAGATTACTTTTAATAAACAATCGCTAAACCAAAAAGCATTACGGTAACGATTTTTTGCAACTCAATCAACTCTTTTAGCTTTAGTAAGTCTAGTCATCTTTTTTCTCATAATTTTTTCAATTTCCATTGCTTACACAAAAATCGGTGCTGCTCCTATGAAAACATTCCAATTTTCCCCCCACAAAAAGTGTTTCGATTTTTTCGAGAGTTTTCTTTTAACTACCGTAAATACTGTAATAGTACCCCACCTCCATAATGAAGGTGCGGAGCGTTGCGTAGTCTAGCTTTGAACGAGTTTTTCTCGACACTGGTTTATGCTACAATGCGCGCTTAGGTATCAAAAAATAGCTGAAATTCAGGGCTATTTTTTGATACGAAAGATAATGACGGTGCGAAGCGATGCGTAGTCTAGCTTTGAACGAGTTTTTCTCGGCACTGGTTCATGCTACAATGTACGCTTAGGTATCAAAAAATAGCCCTGAATTTCAGCTATTTTTTGATACCAAAGACGCATTTTTTGAAGGTACGGGTGCTTTGAAAAAAATGAAATACTAAAAAACTTTTGCGACTACGCGACTGTACGAGGGGGATGGGGTACTATTACAGTATTTACGGTATATTTTTTTTCCATTAAACGAATCATTTGTTGTGATAAATTTGAAATATTTTTTTTTCAGTTTATAGGTTTTTTTTGAATTGTAAGGAAGACAATATAAATTTTATAAAAAAAAAAAGTCAAAAAATTTGCATATGAAAGAAAAAGTATGAAGGATTGAGGGTGTTGTGATAAAAGAATGAAAAAAAAAAAGAGTAATTCCGTTTTAAAACCATTAACACCAAGCCTAGCTTTATTCTTTGATGATGTACTTTGTGCTGAAACGGAAACGGAAGCGGAAACACACACCTTCTCGTGCACTCAAACTCTCTTTTTTGAGAAAATTTCCAAATTCGGTCTGCTAGAAGGGTTATTTTTCCACTTTTAAGCTCAACATACACTCCAAAGAAAGTCAAGAACTATAGAAAATGTCGAAGAAGTAATTATTGCGCTTGTATTGTTGTTTGGGTGCCGGATTGGTCGAAAAGTGAGCCGTTCTTTGACGACTCTAGGCTTTTGCCGCTTCCGTTGTCTAAAAAATGAATAAAGTACAATACTCTAACTGTAAGAAGAGAAATTCTGAGACAAATAAGGTTACATTACGCACCGAACCTTCAATGAACAGCGAATTATCGATCATTTGAATAATCTCGTTGAAGATTTTCTCCTCCTCGATGTCGCCATCCACCTGGAAGGGATTAGAATTGAAGATCTATTTATTTGCTGTATTGTATACCGTAAAAACTCTAATAAAAACCCTTTTTTATTAAGTTTTTTATACCGTAACCTAATTATTTTACACTTTGCAAGGATTCTTTAGAGAAACATGAGCAAAGGCGAGACACTACGATCAGGTCTAGCCAGAGAACGAGGTGGATGAGTGAAGGAAACGATCGCTCAATGTTTGTAGAAAGATTGTTCAAGTGAAGAAGAACGACGAAGAACCACTCGGCCCTTCCCGAAAGCGAAAGGCCTATTCAAAGAAGCGAAAATTGGAAGCTTTTAAATACGCCAAGGATTTCTATGCATGTGGGTTGAAGTACCGAGTTGAATGTGCAATGTTTCGACGATGGATAGGACAAAAAAAGACTTTTGAAGCAAGAAAGCAAAAAAAAAACGTTTGAAAGCAGGCGGGCGATACTTAACGTCGATTGATCTAGAGAACGGAGTTGTTGCCAGGAATCTATCACAAAAATTTGTTTGATTTTTAATTTTTGCATTGAAAAATCGAAGTCCCTCTCTATTAGAAGCTCCTTTGGAGGAGAGTTGAAAAATAGAAGCTTCGGAGCTTCTATTAGAATAATTACGGTATTTTAAAGTTTTACAAGTGTTATAAATAGATCTAGAACCAGTTACCATAAGAAATCGTTTTAATCTGATCTTTTTATAAGTAGGAAGAATAATAACTGGATCAGTGGCAGTATGGCTATGTTTAGTTAGCTATATTTAGTTAGCTATATTTAGTTAGCTATATTTAATTAGCTATATTTAGTTAGTTATGTTTAGCTATGGCTTTCCCAACTTTAACGTTTAAAGTTCAGAAGTTTTAAGTTTTAAGAGTTAATAAAGGTGAGTGAGATAAAGAAAAAGAGTGAACGAAGCTCAATCTGTCAACAGTGAATGCCGCTTCACTCACCACTCTCAATTTTCCCTTGTCATCGAAATATTTCAACATGGGCAAACAGTTCGCTTTGAAGAGTTCCAACCGGGATTTGAATACATCAACAGCGTCATCTGGAATTTGAAATTAAAACTTTTAACATAAAATATCTATAATACTTAACAATATATCTACAATACCTGGTCTCTCAGTTCGATCCTGTAATCCCTCTTCGTATCGTCGCTTCACGTTCTCTGCACAGAATTGCTCAGTACAATCGATGAGAACCGCCAAATCAATTCGATCAATCTAAAACTAAGTTGAAGATTCCTGTTTTCACGTTTTCAAACCTGTTGCTCGAAATCCTGTGCTTGGTGTTGATTCCTCGGATATCCCTCAATCACATAGCCCCAACTTGTCGTCCCGATCTCGTGAATCCCCGAATAAAGGAGTTCGCGGCAAAGTTTCTAGAAAGAGTCAATTGAGCTTGAGAAAACATTATCTATTATAAACTTTATTCTGCTATAATTTTTAAACGAACCATCGGAACAGCTTCTCCTTGGTCAATCTTTCTCCCGATTCGATCCCACAACTCGTCACCTCTTGTTTCTCTGACCTGAAATACGTGTGCTTTTGAAACAGCTCGTTGTCAGCATTATAATAATGTTATAATAGTCTAGTTATAAGTTATAAAAATCTACCGTAAATACTGTAATAGTACCCCACCCCCCTCGTACAGTCGCGTAGTCGCCAAAGTTTTTTAGTATTTCATTTTTTTCAAAGCACCCGTACCTTCAAAAAATGCGTCTTTGGTATCAAAAAATAGTTGAAATTCAGGGCTATTTTTTGATACCTAAGCGCGCATTGTAGCATAAACCAGTGTCGAGAAAAGCGCGTCCAAAGCTAGACTACGCAACACTCCGCACCGTCATTATGGGGGTGGGGTACTATTACAGTCTTTACGGTAGTTATAATAAATAATTAATCTAGTTATAAAAAAATGCCTTTGAGCTACCTTTCTTCTCAGCAAATCTCCCATACTAAACATCACAAATCCATCGTATTTTTTTGCTATCCTTTGTGCAATTGAGGTCTTGTTTGAGCCGGGAGCTCCTAAATTTCTCCTTAAATTTACAAGTTTTAAAAGCGAAAAAAACCTATTAGTAGAATCACTGGTGCGTTGTTGGGAAGTCCTCTGGGAAAGTTGCGTGCTCGACCGACCGCTGGAAATATTTATAACTACAATTCGAAAGACTGGAATTCCAGCATGCTATCTAAAATCCTACATTCTGCCGTTTTTGGTGTTTTCGGTGGATCATGAACGGTGGCCACAGTCTCAACAACAGCCGCCACTTCTCGTTCAATTTCTGAAATCAAAAATTTAGCAATGCTAATGTAAAGATGATGTCAAAGCTTTTCCTTACCGGGTTCTCTAGCCAGCTCCGCGTGTCCATTTATGAGTGGAGTTTCTAAGATTTCAGTGTATAATCTAACTTATTCATGTTCTACCTGCTTTCCGAGATTTTCCACTACCACTTCTCTTTGACGACGCACTGCCTAAAGTTCAATCAATTGCAACTAATAAAAATCAAATCTTTTACCTGATCTACTGCCCGGTCTGCTCGATGGCCTCTCTTCTTTATGATGTCCGTGAGAAGTGGAGGGTTTGCTTGCGGGTTTTGAGCCTAGAAAGTGAAATGATTGACTGAAAAACAAGAGGAATGATATGATTAAGTTAAAAATAGTTTTTGACTAATTAAATAGTTAACCTGGAGTTGATGGAGGCTTTGAGCCGCTGCTTGTTGGCGGTTTGTGGTGATGGTGTTCGGATGAGGTGCCGGGTGGCTGAAAGCTCCGTTTGTTCAGTTTAAAGTTTTAGCTGAATCTGTAGCTAGCTTCTAGCTATAGATTTTGGAAAATCAACGACTATCTATAGAAGACTCACACTCAACGGATCCCCTCTCGCCACAGCTTGTGCAGGTGGATTCGAATTGTAAACGGGTACTCCGGATTCCATCGCTTGTTCCACCAATTTCTTCATTCTTTCAAAAATCGTTTGATCGTCTTTTTCTCCGGGAATCTGAAAGTAAAGCATTTCAATAAATGGATTTTTTAACCAACCAAATGCAGCAGCTTTTGATCATCGAAATATTTCGCCGATGGGAGAGTCTTCTGTTTGAATTCTTTGATTCGTTGATCGATGACCTGAACGTAAAGAAATGTTAAAGTTATCTACAATCTATAAACTTTAGATTTGTTCACAATTGTACTCTAAAATAGTTGTATTCAAATAGTTACATTGAATCTGAAATCTAAAATTTCCCCGTAAACTCAAGATTCTCTTTGATCTTCACCGTCAACTTCACCTCTCCGCCTTCAGCGTTTTCTCAAAACATCGAATCTTTTAAAAAATATTTTTAGTGCCAAAAGTTAAGTATATTTCACCCAACATATTCAATAAACCCAAAATTCATTTCTGGGTTCATCATGAGGTGAACGAACAGACCTTTGATCTAGCCACCAAATTCGGTTTTCACCAAACATCAACGTTACTCAAAAACTGTCAAGGATTTTTCAATTCTAATTTAACAAGCCAAGTCGATTACATCTTGTCCCAAAAAATCAGACCGAAATTCCCACTGGGACTCGAGTTATGAGGTGAATGGACAGACACAAAAACTTTTCGTCTTATCTCTACTTTATATCAAAAATAATCTCTGTCTGTCTGTGCGCGCACTACGCGCGTCCACTTTGAGTATTTAAAAAAAACGCTGAAACACGTGTCTAATGAAACTTATTTAATTGTGCCTTTTAAAAAAAATTTTTGCAAACAGTCAAAGTAGGTGGACACTGGCAGGGGTCGAACCCGAGCCGTGTGCCCGTGAGGTAAGCGCGCTATCCACCGCACCATGGGTGCAATTTGCAGGGTGGGTTTTTCCAACACAGGAAATTCATTTCAGGAAATCATTTTCACGACTTCTGAAGCAGCCTGCCGTTAGGTGGGCTGTTCTGGTAATAATAAAGTAAAGAATGGGAAAGAAAGATTTCCGGATAGGGGATTGAACCCTAGACCTTTTTTGCTTTCCGAGCAAATGCTCTAACCACTGAGCTATCCGGTAGAGGAAATAAAAGGAAGAAGAGAAAGGAAGAAAGAGAAAGTGAGTAAGATACTAATATCGAAATATCTTTGTTCAATCCTTACATCCATAGCTATCCCTCGTCTCTCCATGTGTTCTCTCAATGTCCTCTCATCGTAGTCGATGATTATCGCCATGTTTACGACTTTTACCTGAATATCCATATTTTAAAATGAATATTGGATATGGTAAATGGTTTTCGTTGAGTCTTGAATACCAATAACATTTTGAAATAAATGAGAATAGCTCAAAAGTACCAAAAATCTGTCAGATTATTCAAGTAGAGCAATCTCGACTAATCCAAAAACATCAAATATTTAAAGCTACATGCTTTAAACTACTGAATTACTGAAGATTAACAAATAATTTTTAAATAAAACTTTTAGTTATCTTGCTTTTATGCTTGTTTCTATTTTTCTCACCTGTCTCTCGAAATCCTCAACTTGTCTCGCTTCTCTCGGGAATCCTTCAAGGAAATAAGCGGATGCCTAGAAAAAAAAAGAATTGAGTTCCGCGTACTCAAAACTTTATTTTCTACGGAAAATAGTACTCAAGTGGTATCCAAAGCTAAATATCGCAAAAAAAAAGTAGTATTTACTTGTGGATGTCGTCCCATTTCGGCTTTGACGAGAGCCAAGGCGAGATGATTGGGAATGAGTTCACCTAGAGTGGAAAATCAGAAACGATTTCGATACAAGTTAGCCATAAAACCTTAGGGATGTTTTAGATATGAATACTTAGATATAAATACTACAAATTGGTTGATTTTGGCGTCGAATTTATACCTCTCATGTACTTATCGTTGGCATCTTTCCACTCGGTAAAACGATCCTTGTACTTGGCCAGGGCATTCCGAATAATATCCGGCATACAGATGTGGATTAAGCCCTAGAATTGAATTAGTCATATTAGTGTTGTTCAAAGTAATGCAAAGTAATAATAATTTACATTATTCGGCTCATTAGAGTCTAAGTGTAAAGCTGAAGCCAACCTGATCATGCAATGCGTTGTAGACCCTAGACGCGTGACGAGTCTTTCCTCCACCAGGTCCTCCTAAAGTTTATTGGTTTAATTAGCAACTAGCTGACAATAAGCCTAAAGATTTATATGGTTATCACAAAATTCTCTCACCCATAAAGAGCACCACAGGCACATCGGGGATCTTCGCTACTTCGGCCGCTTTGATCACCGACGGTACTCGTTGCACACCCATTGCCGGTTCTTTTTCTTTTTCTTTCTCTTTTTCCTTCTTTAGTTCACTGTTCTAAATCAATTTTGAACATAAAGAATAGCTCTTATTCATATTAATAGTTAAATTTTTTCTTAAACCCGACCTTTTTCTTTTCACCCGGGACGCTTTTCTTTGATTCTTTGTCCTCTTTCGGCTTGACTTTCTTCTTTTTCGTGGTACTGAAACAAAAAAATAAGTACAATGATTTTACGCTAAAACGGATCTAATCTTTTATATTTTAATCCTAATACTTAATAAAAAATTAGATTCATTTTAAAATAATTCACTTACGTTTTATTCTCTTTGTTGATCTCTTCGACTTTCGGTTGGCGCTGGATCTCTGGAAATAAAATTTAATAGAAAGCAATTAAGTATATTTTGACTAAGATCTAAAAGGGGACTTAGTATAGAAAACGAGCATTGGTTGGTCAATTCGAAAATAATTGTTGTTGGGGGGGGGGGGGGGGGGGAAGGGGAGAGGCTAAAGGTTTCATGGGGAAGGTGTGGGGGAGGGACCCTTCTCCCTCAAAAGCCCAAAAATGCTAAGGAAACCAACCAACCGAAGAAAACATCTAGAGCCATTTTTATGTCAAAAAGAACGTTTTTTCGATTCCTGGCTCTGAAGTTTTTAAAGGCGCTGAGTAAGTTTAGTTTTTCATCTCTCAAAGTTGGGTCTAAAGGTCGATTATTAGTCCTTGTAAACTTGTTCAAACAAGCATCAGCTAGAAGTTATTCAGTTATGTTTTTAAAACTTAAAGGTTCTGTAAGAATTGTAACTTAATATAAATTCAAGATTCACTTTAAACTTGATTATTACTGAGCTAAAGCATTGAATCAAACCTATTTTCATTTGGTAACACTTGGAAAGTTACTTGGTATCGCCAAAGTGTTCATCTTGTTGTTGATAGAAATATGAAAATATGTAAAAAGGAGAGTTTTATTCAAGATTGGTCAGCTAGGCCATTGAGGGGTCCATTTTGCAGGAATGGAAGAGATAATGACCAGGTGGAGAGTGGGAGAAGGAACCAACCCCGAAATAGGTCTTAAGAGATCAAAAGAGAGGTAATGGTGCTTGAGAACGAGTGAACTGATCTGGCTAACAATGTTAACAAAGTTAGATAACTTTTTGGTTTAAGGAAGCAGGCTTTTTAGACATTTATACTTGTAGTCAGACTTGTATTTAGACTCGTGATCAATCGGAACATGCTAATTGCAAGAGTTGATGATTACAAGATTTGCAATTGCAAGATTTAAAGACAAAATGACGAATAATATTTACAAGATTGAGCAAAGATTGGGGTTTAATTAAAAAATTAAAACACAAGAACAAATACCTGATTCCGTTTTGATGAACATGTCCCAAGAGACCTCCATGTTTGGATTGCCGCGGACCTGTAAAAAACAAAATAAAGTACAAAGAACTTTACAAGTTTTGAACTTTCAAACAAAAAAACTTTGAAAATTACAAAGTCTAGAAAGAAAATATAAAATTTTAATATGAAATCTACCTTGGCAAGTGCTTCTTCGAGAAACTCCAACGGATCATCGGGTTTATTATAGATGAGGCCGGTCATGAGGCCCTAGAAATGCTCAATTATCTAATGAAATGGCTTATTAAAGCTAAATATTAATTTTAAATGAATAATATTATAATATTCATTAAGTTTTGTTCAAGATTTATATAGAAATTAATTTTTTTTACCTCAAACAATTGGGGAATGCCATGTTCTTGCAGATAGGCCTTCGCCTCGGCACCCATGCTTTCTAAAAGATAAGTTTTTGTGTAGAATTTGAAAGATGAAATAATTACGTTAAACAAAAAAGGCAAAATTGAATTCGTTAAGAAAATCCAACAATTGAAATGGCATAAAAATCTCAGCAACGCAAAGTTTTTCCCTCAATCATCAAACGGGTTACTCGGGCAACAAAACGAAGTAATAAATTACACAAAAAATGGAATGGAAATCACAATGAAAGGTCTTATTTGATGAAGTTTGGAAAAAAAAATGGGGGTGATTAGATTGGAAAATAGGGGATAATGAGAATTTTAGCTAAAAGGAACACAGATTTGTGGAGCTGCAGAGATTTTTGATCAATTGGTTGTCAAAGAATTTTGAAAACTTCGCTCGCTCGAATCGCTCGGGACCGAAAACTTCGATATGACGAACGTAAAACGTGTGTCAAATTTTCTGCGTAGCCGTCCTGGACGGCCACTGACTGCCTTTGGCTGGGGCAGTTACGCAGAAATTTTGAGTACGCTTTAGAATTTTAAATTCGTTGTATCGAAGTTCGACTTTATTACGCTTTTTGACACTATAGTACACCGCTTTAGCTTTAGTTATCAAAAATCAATAAAACTAAAGTTATTCTATAGATTTTGTCAGGGAAAAGACAAATCTAAAAGATTGACATTGGCTACTAGAGTGCTACGCGAGTAAAATTTGCACAAGTAATTTTTACTCGATTAATGGGGGTGGGACAAATGCTACCTTTTTCTTGCGCACCTGGACATTTGCGCACCTTTTTTTGCTGGCAAGGCCTTAGGCAAGGCCGTAGAGCTTCAAAAATGTTTCCATATAAGGGAATCGTATGCGTAGATTCCGAATTTCGACAAATCAGACCTCGCTGACACGTCAAATTTGGGCTAAAAGGCAAAAACTGCGGAAAAGCGTTAAGTTGCGTAGTTTTTGCCTTTTAGCTCAAATTTGACGTGTCAGCGAGGTCTGATTTGTCGAAATTCGGAATCTACGCATACGATTCCCTTATATGGAAATATTTTCGAAGCTCTACGGCCTTGCCTAAAGCCTTTTCCAGCAAAAAAAGGTGCGCAAATGTCCAGGTGCGCAAAAAAAAGGTCGCATTTGTCCCACCCCCGCACAAGTAATTTTTATTCGATTAATCGACGTTTTTTTTGTCGAGTAACTACAAGTAATTCTCTTTACACGTTGAGTAAATTGAATATCTTTACATTTGAAGGTAATTTGCCACCAAATCATTTAAATGGCTGAATATCTTTAAAAAAGTCATATATAACTCGGCGCTCGTTATTTTGCACCAATTTTTTAAATTTTCGCTAAAAGTATAGTAATTTTTCCTAATTGTATATTTTAAAAAAACGAATTACTCGTGACGAACACACTGAAACCAGTTTAAACTGTAAGAAAGTTACCGGAACTTGTTTAAACTGTAAGATAAGAGATTTACAAAATAACTACTAAACTAAAAGTTTCCTGTATAGCAAAATCTCTAATCAAAAGCAAATCCTATAAGACCACGTGAATCAAAAATGTGTCACGCATATTGTCGTCAACAACTGTTACAAACCAATCTTGAAGGGTAATCTGGAGGAAGCCCGATATGTCAGATTTTCTCGGGATTTTCCCACTCTTTCTTTTTCCATTTCTTTTCTCACAAGGTTTGGTCTCGATTTCTGGCTTTAATCGGTAACCGGGGTAACAATTTGTGTCGGATTTTTCTTTCTTTCTCAGCGTTTCTTTCAAGCGCTTCTTTCAAGCGCTTCCTGGGGCTGAGAGTGGCTTTTGAGGCAGAGGATCAGTGGGGAGAGGCTTAAAAAGAGAAAAAGAATTAGATCAGTCTAGAATTTAGTGCGTTTTGAGCACTGTAATCGGATAATCGGGTTCAATGGTTGAAAATTTTTGTCTTATACATTAAGAAACAGATCAGTGCACAAAGCTTCTTCTGTGAGCTTTGGAGTGAAATTTGAAGCTATCTAAAAGTGATTCTGTAAATAGGATTATTGTTTTACATTACCAAATATCAAATATCTCAGTAATTTAACAAAATCATAACAATTTTAACTAGTAAAGTCATTTTTTGTTTTGTAAAGTCTCTACGTTTTGTTTTTGGTTTATCTAAAAGAAAAGATAATTGCACAAAAAGTCGTGTGGTGTTGTTTGAGTCTAGTCTAGAATCTAGGTGTGGTCTAGAATCACAAACTAGACATCTTGATTCACTTCTTTGAATTGTTTAAGTACAAAAACGCTGAACTCAATGAACAATCAATTGCTTTGCTTTTTCAAAAGTCACAGAGAATCGCGTTTTCGTCATTTCATGCGTCGTAATCACTGATTAGAAAGACAATCTCAATCGGAACTTTCTCTATGACTTTTGAAAAAGCAAAGCAATTGGTTGTTCATTGAGTTCAGCGTTTTTGTACTTAAACAATTCAAAGAAGTCAATCAAGATGTCTAGTTTGTGATTCTAGACTCAAACAACTGATTAGAAAGACAATCCCAATCGGAACCGTCACAAAATCCATAAATTTCCCGATAAAAGTTCGAATCAGTGAGTGAATTTGTTTAAAAAATGAAACAGCTGTTTGTTTATATACTTTTGTTGGGATTTGTCTCTGCAGATTGTCCGAATGGATCGGTGCCGATTCCCGAATTGCCTGGAGAACAGTGCTGGGTCTTTGTGAAAGATGGTAGGTGGTGTTTAAAAAGAATATCCAAAAATAAGTATTTGATTCTCCTTGCAAGTTGTATTATATAGTTGCGATTGAAGGAATTAGATCAGTCTAGAATTTAGTGCGTTTTGAGCACTGTAATCGGATAATCGGGTTCAATAGTTGAAAAATTTTGTCTTATACATTAAGAAACAGATCAGTGCACAAAGCTTCCTCTGTGAGCTTTGGAGTGAAATTTGAAGCTATCTAAAAGTGATTCTGTAAATAGGATTATTGTTTTACATTACCAAATATCAAATATCTCAGTAATTTAACAAAATGATTCTCCTTGCAAGTTGTATTATATAGTTGCGATCGAAGTGGATCAGTGGTTCACTTGTATGTATCAAGACGCAACTTTCCTTTCCGTTCACAACACTTTCGAGAATAATCTCATCGTCGAGTATGCTCAACAATGTGAGTTAAACAAACATGAATTTATCAATCAGCTGTTTTTTAGATCTGGGAAATGTGAGCTCGATTTATCTTGGAATGGAGTATTTGCATGTTGGAAGAGATATTGGATGGGGATGGTATGATGGAACGCCGATGGATTATTTCAAATGGGCTTTGGGTTGGTGCTTAGAGTAGAAGAGGTAAAGCTAATCAATAAAATCTGTCTAACCTCTATTATTCTGCTGTCCAGAAAGTCTTTTCATTCCTTTTCGTACTTTAACCTTTCAATTGCTCAAGGAAATTTTTACTAATAGAATCATAAAGAAGAATTTCTATTCAGGCGAGCCAAAACCCTCAGCTGAGTGCGGTCATCTCGATTTGAAAAGTACAAACTGGATCTCGGATGGGTGTATGGGAAAATATTCAACAATTTGCAAAATCCGGGACTCAAATGAGCCAATTCAGCAAAAATCGAAACGAAACGCTAGACCGAATCGATATTGAAATGCAATAAAAGTTTTATTAAAAGCCTAAAACAAAGCAATTGTATAAGAAAAAAACCCGCACTTAATTTTTGAAAGAACAATGACATCATTTGCAACCATAGAACAAGCTTTGTTTTAAAAATTCTTCTTTAACCACTGTTATCATAGAAAATCCCAGTATCTAAGCTGTCACAAAATCGAAAATTTTGAGATAAAAGGGCTGAATCCAATATTCAAACAATCAAAAATGAAACAGCTGCTGATTTTGTTGATTTCTTTTTCTTTTATTTATGCAGATTGTCCCAAAGGATCGGTACCGATTCCAGAGTTGACTGGAGAGTGTTGGGTTTTTGTGAAAAAATGTGGGTTCTTGCTTTGATATTAGGCTCAATTTCTTCTTAAACTGCTTTTGATAGTTTTAATCGATAGATCTTTGAAGTCCGAGATCTTTCTAAATAAAGATTTTCAGCTGATGTCGAAGTCTATCAAGATTTGGCTTGTGTTCTGCTTGGCACCGAGATGATCTCTATTCACAACACAATCCAAAACAATATCATCGCTCAATACGCTCAACAACGTTTGCTTTTTCTAGAAAAATTTTGTATGAGCTGCTTTCAGAGTTTGGAAATAATGTCACTGGAGTGTATCTTGGACTCGAGTGGTTACACGTTGGAAAAGATTTAGGATGGTGTTGGGAAGATGGGACACCCACGGACTACTTGAAATGGGCTGCAGGTTGGGTAATAACTTGTTGGTAATAGCTTGTTGGTAATAGCTTGTTGGTAATAACTTGTTGGTAATAACTTGTTGGTAATAGCTTGTTGGTAATAACTAAGCAAATCTAACATGTCAACTTTTTAAAAAACCATCTTTAGGTGAGCCAAAGCTATCAAACGAGTGCGTTCATCTCAATCCAAGCAACGGAAATTGGTTCTCGGATGGTTGTGTGGACAAGTATCCAACGATTTGTCGAGTTCCACAACCTGGCGAGTCACGAAGAACTAGAAACTTGAGAGCAAATCGCTAATGAAAACTGAAATAAACCAATAAGGTTGGCCAAATCTTTCAAAACCTTTTTTTATAAACCTTTTTATTTAATTTAAATTATAAATAAATCAAAAGCTCATCTATGATTTCCTTCAAATAGATGTTTATTGTCTATTTTTTTCTATTTGTCTATCTTTTTACACCAATCTGGGCCCGTTTCCAAGTAAAAAAACCGAGCGCAAAAACTCCTTTTTACGTAAAATTCGATAAAAGGCTAAACAAATTGTGAAAATTTGCTTATAAACCTAACTTTTTGTGCTCTATCTTTTCTCTATTGACACTAAAATCGGTTTCTTTAGACGAAAGTGTTTAAATCGCGTAATCGAGTTCCCTCTTTGACTGACCGAGTCCACAGCTTCCAAAGAAAAACCAGAAAGAAAACAGATCTTAAGATTTCAACGATTTTTTATAGAAAAATATTAGATATTTCTAATAGAGCAAAAGAGCAAATAGGGCAAGCAAATGTACACGACTGGACAATGAAATATCATATTTGAAAAAACGATCGTCACTTTCGCGCGTCTGTAACTCCCTTGTCTTTACCGTATTTCTAAATATTAATACTACCATGGTATAGCCCTTGAAAAGAGCTTTCAGAAAATGTATAACACTAATAGTTTAAACTCGAAGACAAGGGAGTTACAGACGCGCGAAAGTGACGATCGTTTTTCAAATATCATATTTCATTGTCCAGTACTGTATATATATGTTGTGTCCGATTTAGATTGAACTTATCGCGGACGTTCGATTTAGATACTGCAGATATACTGCTAGATACAGTACTGGACAATGAAATATCATATTTAAAATATCATAATGAAACGATCGTTTTTCAAATATGATATTTCATTGTCCAGTGCTGTAGGTCAATAGGTGAATTGATCATTTCTAAATAGGTTTTCAAATGAAATGTCAAAAGACTTATCGACCAACCTAATATCGTTTTTGTTTTAGAATGCACTTTAGATTCAATCTACACTCATCGTCTCTTCCTTTTCAACATCCAATTAAACTTTACAGCGTTTTAAGTGTAATTCTATGCATGAATTACACTTAAAACTGACCATTACACTTTTTAGAATACATTCTATGCATAGAATTACACTTAAAACGCTGTAAAGTTTAATTGGATGTTGAAAAGGAAGAGACGATGAGTGTAAATTGAATCTAAAGTGCATTCTAAAACAAAAACTATGCTAGAATTGACGAATGTAACAAGATTTACGTGCAATTGTTTTAGTATACATCGCAAAACAGTTTTTTTTTTGTTAAGAACTGTTCAATTTGGTATCTAGATAATCTTGGCTAGGTCTGCGCTCGTTCTTAAGCTTTTGAAAAGTCTTTTGAAGTGTTCTTTTTCACTCTATCTTTAGGTATTTTCTGCTTGTTTTTATTTTTAAAATATTTCAGCACTTTTTATTTAACCACTTGTCAAAAGACTCGAAAAAACATAAATAATTTTAAAAAAACGTGAAATAGAAGAGTCAGAAAGAAGAAAATTTTGTCCCGGATTCCCAGAAATTGTTGAAATTGTTGAAATTGTTTTTTATGAATTTTCTCATAGGATCACAACTTTTTTGAGGAGTCGATGGGCCTTTCCAGGGCTCATCGTTGGCACGATTATGTTTAGAGAAAATGATGGATGAAAAATAGACAGCGATTGTAGTAAAAGCGGGGGAAATATTAGGCAATACACGTAGACAGAAGCAGCGAATGAAACGGCTACAGTTCAATTTGCAGGATTGTTTGGGGGAATTGAATAGTTAAATATTTTTTCAATTTTATTAAGATATTCAGCTAAGCATTGAAAATCTCAAGCTATTCAATTGACCACCAAAAAAGCCTGGGGAAATGTGGAGGAAAGATAGGCTTGCTCAGTGGATGAATAAGTGCCAAATAGGAAATAGAATTTAAAGTACATTTTCCTATTGACACTTGCTCGTTCCACGAAGCAAGTCAAAAATATTATACAAAAATTTGTAGAGTTTAGTGCATTGGTGACTTGGCCTCCTCGGTGGCTGGGGTTGTGGCCTGAATATTCATATTTCCATATTGTTAATCAATTTTAGCTATCGTTGTCTTATTTTATAGTATAGCTTCAGCAATTACGATAGTTCAACAATACGCTTGACTGTACAGGTACTTTAAAAGTACCTGTACTTTTAAAGTACTTCTAAAAAAACCTGTGATCCCCGTGCGGCTCCAGAGAGATGATCGATCGAAGTCGAAGCCGCTATTTTAGCCTGAAACTTATCTTTAAACTTAAAAAAAGGAATATTTAAAAAGAAATGTTGAATTTTTGATAGTTCTTATAATCTATTTGACCTATTTGTCTATATAAAACTATTGTATTTTCTTTAATAGTAGTGCACCCCGACGAGCCGAGTTGGTGACTATTTTACGGTTCCAAAGTTTTCACAGAAGCTCAACACTCAAATCCCCCACAAGATCTCATCGTCAGCTACATTTTCCGACCCCACATCGATAGGTTCTGATAAGCGGTTCTCAAGATTTCGAGCAGTTTAGGTTGCTCAGGGTGCACTACTATTAGAGAGAATACGGTATTCTGTATTTCCTCTAATTGTACTGCCCTTTCCCCCTCCCCCCGGTCGAGCCAGATGATGATTTTACAGTTCCCAAGCTTTCACAGAAGCTCAACACTCAAATCCCCCACTAGATCTCATCGTCAGCTACATTTTCCGACCCCACATCGATAGGTTCTGATAAGCGGTTCTCGAGATTTCGAGGAATTTAGGCGACGCTCAGGGTGCACTACTATTAGAGAAAGTACGGTAAAATTATTTGTGATTTAAACTTACACTAGTGTAGGCAGTTCCAAGCTTGCTCTCGAATGACTTGAAGAGATTTGAGTTTCTCATATCATTCCACTTGTTTTTCACCGAATCAGCAGCAGCTCCGGCCACTTCGGATGTCGTTTTGTAACTGAAAAAGCAATTATTTTCAAGTACGATATTTTCAAGTACGATTTTACGATCCTTCAGTAGAATCTAAAAGCATCTATTTCTACATTTTCAACAATAAAAACAATTGTTAACACTCACGCATCAGTCTCAGTAACTCCCTTGAGCGTTTTGTTGATGTCCTGGGTGAGCTCTGTCAATGGATTCAAGCCTGAAAGTGGATTAAACGTGGATTAGTTTAATTAAACTATTTTTAAACATATTAGAACAGTCCAACACCTCACCAAGTTTTCTTTTCAACTCCGACGAATGCTTTTGCCGGGCGAGCAACACTTGCTTCAGCGTCGTGATCTCATCTTCCGTCTAAATAAAATCTAGACTTCCCTGTTTTTGTTTTTAATTTTAAAATTGATGTCATTAGATTTGATCCTTAACAAATTTATTATTGAATTTGTTGATTACCGACCTTTTTAAGCTCTTCTTTAAGAAGCTCCCTCTCAGCATCGGAAAGCGGAGTTCCATCAGCATTCCCGAACGCAGATTCAGCCTCTACAGCCACTAATTTAGAAAATTTTAAAAAACAAATGGTTAAGTTAGCTATTAAAAGTCAATAACTAACTTTAAACTTTTCTATTTAACTACCTAATGTCTCTGAAATGAATCTAATGAATCAAGTTGAGTTACTCAGCTCGGACACATTTAAAACTTCTATCTAACGCCTATTTACCTCATTTTAAGTTAAATTTTGACAATATTTTGAATATACAATGTGATTTAGATATAGAATATAGCCTATGACTCTAAAAAGCACTTTTCTGTGCAGGTTTTGTGAGGGGAGTGTTGGCGGTGGGCTGTTCGTTGATCACTTCAGCGTCATCCGAATCCGATTCTTTTGCAAGACGATCAGCCAAATCATCAACCGATTTATCTTCTCCAGCCGGAGTTTCTTCAGGCTTTTGTACAAGTTTCTCTCGGACTTGATTTGGACCTTGCTTCTTTTTTGGAGGCATCTTGAATTTGTGAGATTGGTCAGAGTGAAGAGAACCAAAGGGAAAGAATTGTAAAAAATTTTGGAGAAAAACTGAAAGTTCAAGATTGACCTTATAACCAAGGAAATGATTAGAGGAAAACTAATCAAAAAGTTAATGGCTGGAAAAACTAATTTACGATTTTGAACCAAGTGCTACAATTAGAGCCACTCTATTCAAAAAAAATTTATGTTTTTAGGTACAAGTTCAGTTCTAGAATAGTAGTACTAGAATTGTAAGAATAGTAAAAGTTAAAGAAACCATTCTACGAAGTCAGTCAAAGGCAATGTGTAACCAGACTCTGACTAGCGACTGAGTGACCGGAGTAGAGATTTTCGATCGATACCGATTGACCGCTTGAGAAGAAAGGAAAGAGAGAAAGAAAAGGGATATGTGAACGCCAAAAACTATTGATGATTATTGATCATTTAAATTTAATATATCAGTTAGAATATTAAAAGAACCAAAGGAGATATTGCTAGAAGAAATGGACACTAAAAAAGATACTTGCTTTCATTAAATGAGCAAGTTTATATAAGTTACTGTATTTTGCCTGTAAACTTCAAAAACCCGTGATTAAGCTAATAAAAAGCCTTCTTATAATCTTTGAGTATCTAGTTTTGAAATCTAGAGCTGTGCATAGATCAAAATTTCTCAAGCTCAAGCCAAGCCAAGCCAAAGCAAGCCAAGCCAGCACCACAACTTCATTTTGATCTTGATCTTTTCAATCTTTAACTTTAATATTAAAATAATCTAAGCTTTCATTGCCTTCTGCCTTGATAATTCCATTATCATGTGCTGATTCATAAAATAAATGACTTGTCTTTACAAAAGTTAAAGTTAAACAAATGCCAAAACGAAAAACTTGGATAATCACCTAAAAATGATTGCAAACAAAAAGCAAAAGATTCGATTTTCTACGTGGCCGTCAAAGTGTGATTGACCCGAGAGCCTGTGTGAAGCATTGATTGAAAGGAAAAAGGGAAAGAGAAAGAAACGAATAGCCGAAATAGGGAAAAGACAAGGAAAGGGAAGGGGAAGGCCTGAACAGACCTTTTGAGTCAACAACACACACCCAGCAAATTTTGATGAAGAATTCATGTGAATTGTGGAACAAAACATCATCGTGAGTGGAAGTAATTGGGAAGAGTAGCTAATTTAAATGCTAATTTGATTGATTATCTAAACAGAGCGTTTTCTAAAAGATGCTCAGCGGGCCAAGCTACTGTAATCCAACCTATAAACTACCGTATGACACCTTACAGTCTGGCTTTCTTGTTTAGATTTCATTTCAGAGAAATTCGGTAGTCACTATTGTTATATCTACATTTGAATACCTAATCTAGTTTGGATATCTAAACTTTACATAATTTTTCTCAACCAACCTTCGATTCCTGGGGTGGCCATCGTTTTGTTCAACTTCACTTGATCGGTTTCTGAAATCGAATGATAGCAGTTATCAATTGACTAGTTATATCGTAAATTTTGAAATCCAAAGGTACATAGAAATGAAAATGAATCATACAAGTGAGGAAAATTGTAAGGGAAAAATCATAGTGTCATTTTTTTTCTCGATGGCGAAAGAGAGAACGAGACGTTTTTTTGGAGTCAAAAAGCGGTAGTGACCGTGTTTGTTTGATTGCGAAATGAAGGATAAAAAAACAAGTGCTGTGACATGATTTTTATTGGATTATTTGAAAATGTTGTAAAATATTCTTGAAAATAGATATGGGATATTGGAAAAGTTTTGGAAGTGGGCATTGCAGTGCTGAAAATCAATTGAAAGGCAGACTTTTGTTGATTCGGCTAATTGGCTGGATACAAACTTCAAGTTTCGCAAGGCTTTGTTTTCTTTGATAAGTTATAGTTACCAAAGTTGTAAGAATTAGAGAATTCTTGAAAAGTTTAGAGTTTGAGATATTTCATTTTATGCTTTATGTCAAGCACATGACCTCTCGAGAATTCGATTTTTTCACAATAAGATCTGTATCGACTTTGAGAGAAAATTTGAGAGAAAAAAGTAAAATGCTTCAGCCAGAAATCTATGTAATTGACTAATGCGAGGATATAAACTTTCAAATTTGACATTTCCCTAGGCAAAACCCTGAAAGAGAGCAACACTGGCCTTGAATTGACCCTTGATTACCCGAAAAGAGAGATTTGCAGAAGATTTGTATCACGAGAGACGGATGGGCGTCAGTCAAAATGGGCATTCGGATGGGGGTGAAGTCCCCCTCACAAACAGAACAGAGCCATGTTATGTGGAGTCGACTCAAGAGACAGAGGGGGGCACAAATCGATACTCTTCACTTGCCACGCCGGCTCCCGTTCGGCCCGCGGTCACCCCCAAAAATTCTGCTCATACCCATCCTTCCGGAGTGGGAATGAATGTGGTCGAAACGTTTTTTCGACTTTGCACCTAATTAGTGGCTTCTTTAGAGGATCTTCTCAGGAAATAGGGAATTAGGGCGAAAAAACGGTTGGTGGCTGGTTTTTAGATGTTTAATTATCGAGAAAATGCTTGTTCTTGGTGATTTTGAATTTAATAAGGCTGACAAAACCTCAACAATAAGTCTTTCTTTGGATAGCTACAAAATCTGTACTACAAATCTCTCAAATACAAAGATACAATGGTGTTGAAGCTTTCAATAAGTAACTTTTAAGCGTAAAACTTTTGCCAAATACTTCCTTGTGCTAAAAAGAGGAAAAAAGAATCGATCCAGCTAATTTTATTGCCTTGCAGCCCTCTTTATAAAAGGTTTTTCAAGGGGGCGAATGAGAGAGGAAATTTGATGAAAAACAATCCGCCCGTGGGCAACGAGTAGAAAGGAGATGATAGGGATATCTTCAAGAAAACAGAGAGCATTACTAGAGACCAACACACTAATGAAAACACTGATAGAAGTTGAAAAAGAAAGCAAAAGCTTGGAAACCAACAAAAATCTAGAAAAAAAAAATTCAAAATATTTATAATTCATTTTCACACACTGCGTGGCAGCCCAGCTACGCACAGCAAAAATAATATAATATATTCGCGAAATTTTTCATTTGTTTCATTTTGTTTCCGAAAGTGCGTAGTTTTTTAATGTTTTATTGATTTTATGCGCATCAATCAATCATTTGCGTAACACACGCGCCGTTGCTTTAATCAGTATGATATCTTAGTGTATTGATGATCTTTTTATGCCTTTGAAATTTTAAAGCGTAGTTTGATGGCCCAAATTTTCCCCACCAGCTTTTTTTGCAATGAATCAAGTAAAGGCGTGAGATTAGCTTCCGACTTGCAGCACTTTGACAAGAGTTTGCTTAATATTCAACAAGTCGATCAATAAAATATAATTCAAAAATGTTTCGAGTAAACTTTAGCGGGTTGTTTACGTTTCAGTTTTTGATCGCCTCTCGTGTTATTGCTAAAGCGTGCGTCTTTTTCCTCTCGGGACCTTTTCATACAGTAATTTGAAATTTTCAGCTCAACGGAGTTTTCGTTCGCTCTTTTTTGGACCATTTTCGACTTTCTTGATAGCCATGGTGAGTTTTTAATGCTTATTCTAATAATTTACTCTTTTTCTTGGTTATAATTAACAAGAGGTTGAAATTTATGGCCGTTGGTCAAGTTTTTGAAGTTGTTTAGATCAAAAAACTCAAGAGTTATCAATCTTTTGTTATTTTTAGTCACCTAAAGCTTACCAGACTAAATTTGGTTTGGCTGACGCTTAAAAACAAAAGTTTTATACTTATTTGTTCTGTGTAACACATTAATTGTTTTCTTTAGCCATCCAAGAAGGTAATCAAGAAGAAAGTTGCACCAACCCCGGCTGCCATGAGGGGTACGAGATTATTTGTTTAAAGTTTCAAACTGTTTTGTTTAGGCAAAGCCGAAGCCAAGGGACCAGTGAAGAATCCTTTGTTTGAGGCTCGCCCCAAGAACTTCCGCATCGGGCAAGACATCCTTCCCAAGCGCGATCTCACCCGCTTCGTCAAGTGGCCAAAGTACATCCGCCTTCAACGACAAAGTAACCTTTTGGATTGTTGTAGAATCAAGTTATCCCTATTCTAATACTCTAGACGCGTGTTAAGTTAATGAATCAAATTAGCTAGCTCTATACATTTCGTAATTTGATGACGTAGTTTAATACAATGCTTTAAAAAGTAATGAAACAAATGATTATCTTTTTTCTTTAGGGGCTGTTCTCCAGAAGCGTCTGAAGATCCCACCAAGCATCAACCAATTCAGAACCGCTTTGGACAAGCAAACAGGTATTGTTATTGTGCAATTACCCTTGTAATGTTTTTGTTTAGCTTCGCAAACCGTGAAGTTGCTTGGCAAGTACCGCCCCGAGTCAAAGGAGCAGAAGAAGGAACGTCTTCGCAAGCGCGCGGAAGCACGTGCATCTGGCAAGAAGGAGGATGTAAGTATTCCATTTGGTTTCTGTCATAAAAAAATTTTAGATCACTCCACGACAGGCATTCATCCGCCACGGCATCAACCAAGTAACCAAGCTCGTTGAGCAACGCCGGGTTTGTGGAGCTTCGTCATATTCTTTATTTACTTTGTTATAGGCCCAACTTGTGCTCGTTGCTCATGATGTGGAGCCAATTGAGGTTGCTCTCTTTCTTCCCGCCCTGTGCAGAAAATACAAGGTATGGCTCAAACTTTTTAACATTGACGATCTTTCGTTCAGGTTCCCTATGCTATCGTGAAGGGAAAGGCTGTTCTTGGACGTATTGTGCGCAGAAAGACCACCTCCTCAATCGCCATCGTTGATGTGAAGCCGTAAGTTTTACTGTTGCTATTGATAGCTGATTCAAATGTTATTGAATAGCTTGAATTTTTAGAGAGGACAAAGCCACGCTTGCCAAGATCACCGAGACTGTCTCCAACAACTTCAACGATCGAGCAGATGAGATCCGTCGCCATTGGGGAGGCCACACGGCAAGACTTTTATAAAAACTTTAAACTTATTTTGGATTTAGATGTCTGATCGATCACAGGCCAAGGTCGCCAAGTTGGAACGCGCCAAAGCCAAGGAAGTTGCACAGAAGGCCTAATTTTGTTTATGTTTATTTACAAATGTTGTTCTTTGTTATAATAAAATTTGAAAAAACATAAACTAAATGCATTTTATAATTGGGTATAATATAATTGATTTAAAGCATTAAACTACGAGCACAACAACGTCAGTTGCGACTTGAGAGGTTTTAATTGTACGGGAATAATGCGTGCTAATCAGAGGGCAGTCACAAATTCAGTCGGGTGCGTTTTGAAAACTTGGGACACGGGCAGTTAAGTTGAGTCTTTTGATTTTATTTGAAACCCAGACAAATCATCAAAAGCTCTAGAACTTGATTTATAACTAATTAACAACACGATTTGATTTAGGCGAAAGTTATTACATTCTTCTCACCAAAGAAGAGACATTGATTCTTGTCGAGAAGAGATCACAAAACGGTCGTCGCGAAAAATGTGCGTCGCTATCAGTGATCGGGGGTTGTGATATAAAGCGAAAAAGGACTCTCGATTTGATTAAACGAAATTTTCGGTTTCACTATTTGCGAGTTCTTTGCTGCTGAAATTATGGGTGTCGAGTCGCCATTTCACATTCACATCAACGATTTGGATGCCAGACAAAAGGCAAAGATTAAGGAATTGCGGTGGGTTGAGTTGAGTCTAATAGAAATTGCCCAGCAAGTTAGTTTGATTCAAAATTGCGCAATTATTAGAAAGGATTCAGCTGCTTCTTAAAGCTTTTCAATTTATTAAACCCATTTTTTTATTCTTCTAGAAAAAGACTGGAGGAAGATTTGAAAAGATACCCTGAATACGACACCGATCATTCGTTGCTCCGATGGTTGATTGGCTGGGATTATGATATTGGTAAGAGTGAATCCAAAGTTAAACCTGGATCAACTAAAACAAAAACAAATTTGGCTTCAATGAGCTTCAATGAGCTTCAATGAATACGAAACTTTGAAAATCTACTTCTCATTTCAGAGACAATTGTGCCAAAAGCGCAATGGGCTCTCTCGGTTTTCGATAATCTTGGATTCAATGATGTAAGTTTTCAAAACTTATAAGTGAAGAGGCTAAATCGACTTTGAATACAACAAATACCAATTGCTAGCTCAAAATCTCAAGTGATCTTGAGCAATTTCAGTACCACGTGAAATCCCTTGATGACATTGATGAATACGCGTTAGCGAGAAGTCCAGCTGCTCCTTATTTCCCAGGTTTCGAGATTTTAATTGAACAAAACAATTTGTGTTTAAGGTGGCCTTCTCGGGTATGATAAGGACGGTGATGTGCTTTATTGCCAACCATTGTCTAAAGGTAAAGAAATGGAGGAAATCTATGAAAAGAATCAAGTTTTATACAAGAATTTCAGCTGATCCCAGATCTTTGATGAAAGCCGATTCAGTTGCCCAGGCTTATCGCTTGGAGTTGGCGATGATCGAGGGAGCATTCAAGCTTGTCAGGTAAAGAAATTTTCAAGCGTAGGTGTTTTATTTATCGACATTGTAAGTAAAATTAAACTTTAAAAGACTTTTTTTGAAGTGGCTTTTATCTTTTACTTACAAAGACTCCTTGCAAAGCTAATTTTTAGAATCATTATGATTAGCTGAGTTTCTCTAGAAGGGTTCTCATTGTAAAATCGGTTCTCCAAAGGCAGACTTTGGCCCAAGTTGAACTAAATTTGCTTGCTTTATTTAATGAGTTAATTAGAGCTATCCATTAGTTATTAATTAATTAATTAATTATTAATTAAAGCTTCTTTAAATTAAAGCTTAATTAAAGCTTCTATTAAAGCTTAAATTAAAGCTTAGTTAAAGCTTCTCCCAGTCAGCTAACTGGATTTAGCTCCATGGAAAACAGTTGGCAGATAAGGTTTAAAAATAATTTTGTTTATCAAACCTTTTCAGACGTCAAGAGGCAAAAACTGGGCGCAAGTGTGGGATGAAGATCATTATGGACTTGGAAGGGTTCTCGTATTCAGAGCACGTTTATCTCCCATCTGTATCTGAATATCAAAAAGTGCTGGCACTTGTTCAGGTTTGTTTAAAGTTTAAATTTGTACATCACAATGTAATCAGTACAATAAAACAAGATTTTAGCAAGTGTTCCCCGAGTTTCTGCGAAAACTTTATGTGGTCAATCCGCCCACTGCAATGGCTGCTGTAAATGGGAAAAGTGTTTTTTATAGAAAATCGATTTTCAGGTCTACAATATTGTAAAGCCAGTGTTGGCTAAGCAAACTCGAGAAAAGATCGAGATTCTTGGAAGCGATTGGAAAGAAGTGCTTGTGAATGCTGTGCGTACATTATAAATGCTTGTTTTATCTTGTTTTATCAGATAATTTTCAGTGTGGAGCTGAGAACTTATACCAACAATGGGGCGGAGTCAAACCAGCCGCCACACCCTATGGAAATGTGCGGCTTGGAGGGAAAGTGCCAGAAAAAGTGATGTGAGTTCAAAACTAGAAACTAAGGTTCTTAACTACTTAAACTTCTTAAACTTAACTACTTCTTAACTACTAACTAAGTTCTACTTAAATTTCCCTAGGTATTCTCCTCAGAGCAATCCATTTGATGATGAAGGAAGGATGAAATCGGTGAATATTGCAGCGAGAGGGAAAGCTGAGGTTTCCTTTTCAATCAATAACTAAATAAAATTCTATATTTATCTTTAATCTTTATCTAATCTTAAACTATTTTCAGTTCCGGTTTCAAGCCGACAAGGGAGATACGATCCGATGGTTGTTTAGAGTGAGCAGCGGCGACGTTGACTTCTCGATTAAGCATAAAGAAAAAGAGGTGAGGAGAAGTCGACAATATTAAATAATATTAGATATTAGATATTAGATATTAGATATTTGATATTTGATATTAGATATTTGATATTAAATATTAGATATTAGATATTAGGTATTAGAAATTAGATATTAGATACTAGATATTAGATATTGGATATTAGATATTAAATATTAGAAATTAGATATTAGGCATTTGATATTAGATATTAGATATTAAATATTAGATATTAGATATTAGATATTAGAAATTAGAAATTAGATATTAGAAATTAGATATTAGATATTAGATATTTGATATTAGGTATTTGATACTAGATATTAGATATTAGATATTAGATATTAGATATTTGATATTAAATATTAGATATTAGATATTAGGTATTTGATATTAGATATTAGGTATTAGATATTAGAAATTAGATATTAGAAATTAGATATTAGGTATTAGGTATTAGATATTAGATATTAGATCTTAAATATTAAATATTAGATATTAGATATTAGATATTAGAAAGAAAACTCACAGGTGTACCCAACTTTCCGAATCTCCACCGAATTTGTGCCCGAGTTTGGCTCAATGGTTTGCCGAAAGACTGGAGAATATGTGCTTCTTTTCGAGAATCTTCATGGGAAAGTGGGGTTTTTGAACAGAAAATAAACAATATTAAGATTCGTTTATACATTGTAAAGCTTAGCTTTGTAAAAATTTTGGTTACAAGACTAATTCCAGCTGTGGAGCAAGGATGTCACATATCGAGTCGAGGTACAAGAGACAAAAGAATGTTCAGCTTTGTGAATAAATGTGATACTTTGGAAGCTTTTCAAGATACACTTTACAGAGCTTATTCAGCGATTGTTCTGATCTTTTAGACTGCAAGAACATGTTCAGCTTGATGGCCTTGAACTTGATGGCATTGAGCTTGATGGCCTTGAACTTGGTGGCCTTGAACTTGGTGGCCTTGAACTTCAGCTTGATGGCCTTGAACTTGATGGTCTTGAACTTCAGCTTGATGGCCCAAGGCTTGTCCCAACTTGTCTGGAAGTTAATACCAGATTTTCTTTCAAAAATCTGCAAATCAAAGTGCTTAGAAGTAAGCCTAAAGTAATTTGTGTTCATTTGATTGAGAAGATCATTGAGAAGAGATCAGAAAACGGGAGTGAAAGAGGAAATCAAAAAGTGGAGTCGCTATCAGAGAGGAGTTTTGTGTTAGATAAGGGAGCCGAACTTCTCATTGAGAATTCCCCTGAATTCATTTGGTTTTCAGTCGCCAATTCCTTTCCTTAAAAGCTTTTCATCAAATATGGGTGTTCAATCAAAATTCGATATTCATATTGATGATCTAAACGATAAACAAAAGGAAAAGATCAAGGAGTTGAGGTGAAAAGATTTGAAAAGTATAGCTTGTCAAGCATGGCTTGTCAAGCATAGCTTGTCAAGCATGGCTTGTCAAGCATAGCTTGTCAAGCATAGGTTGTCAAGCATAGCTTGTTTGTTAAGAACTATTGTTATTATCAAATCTAGATAATATATATTGCCTTGGGCAGTTTTTCAAGAGATTTTCTACAATAATTTATGATTTTCCAGCTTTGAACATTCTCTAGATCGTTTTTGAAAAGTTTTAGAATAATTTGAAAGTCAAAGCAATCAAAAGCAAAATGAAAACGGTTTGATTTTCGTCTTTAAATAGCTTTTTTATTGTAGAGATCGGTTGAGAGAAGATTTGAAACGATATCCTGAATATGACACTGATCTATCGCTTTTTCGATGGTTGGTCGGATGGGATTATGATATCGGTGAGGCTGCATCCCCATGTTCGACTTGGGCTTGGAGTTTAATGAGCTTGTCTAAATCCAAACCGAGCAAGTGCCTAAAATTAAAGGTTACAAGCTCATTAAACCCCAAGCCCAAGCCCAAGTCCTTATTAAGCATCAAGTTTAGTTTAAAAAGTCTTAAAAATGAAAATTTTTGCAAGTTAAGCATCAATTTTAGTTTTAAAATAGAAATTAAACTTTTTTTGAAATAATTTTTAGATGCCATTGTCCCAAAAGCATCGTGGGCTCTTTCCGTTTTTGATAACCTCGGTTTCAACGATGTAAGTCCTTTAAATTTTGATTAATCTACCGTAAATACTGTAATAGTACCGCACCCCCATAATGACGATGCGGAGTGTTGTGTAGTCTAGCTTTGAACGTGTTTTTCTCGACACTGATTTATGCTACAATGCTCGTTTAAATATCAAAAAATAGCCCTGAATTTGAGCTATTTTTTGATATTTAAACGAGCATTGTAGCATAAACCAGTGTCGAGAAAAACACGTTCAAAGCTAGACTACACAACACTCCGCACCGTCATTATGGGGGTGCGGTACTATTACAGTATTTACGGTAGTTTATATTTGTTTTATAATACTTGTCATAATACTTTCATTCTATTCTTCCAGTTCCAAATCAACTCCATCGATGACATTCACCAATACGCACTAGCTAGAAGCCCTGCTGTCCCATATTTTCCCGGTTTGACCCTTTCATTAAACTTTATTGACTTTTTAGGTGGTCTTCTCGGCTATGATAAGGACGGAAATGTACTTTATTGTCAACCAATGGCTAAAGGTTAGATTTTGATTAAATTAGAAGTTAGAGAAGCTGGTTTACAAAAAGAAACCAGCTCAGCTTTTTCAGCTCATCCTAAAACTCTTATCAAAGCTGACTCAATCTCTCAAGTGCTTCGGCTAGAGTTGGCTATGATCGAAGGAGCTTTCAAACTAGTCAGGTACTCATTTTTACTATACTTTTACTAAAACAATGTAGACAATGCTGAAAATTGATTTGCCAATAAATTTCTAGAGCGCAAGAAGCGAAAACTGGACGTAAATGCGGAATGAAGATCATTATGGATTTAGACGGTTTTTCTTACAGCGAGCACATCCACATGCCAGCAATCACAGAATACCTCAAACTTTTATCCCTTGTACAGGTAAGAGTTCTTTACTTATTTAAATAGTATTTCCTTTACTGTTATCTAAATAGTATTTCCTTTATTGTTATCTAAATAGTATTTCTTTTACTGTTATTTAAATAGTATTTCCTTTACTGTTATTTAAATAATATTTCCTCTACTGTTATCTAAATAGTATTTCTTTTACTATTATCTAAATAGTATTTCCTTTACTCTTTTCAATACTTCTAAAGTTTAGGCTGTATTTCCGGACTTTTTGCGAAAACTTTGGGTCGTCAACCCACCGACCACAATTGCTGTTGTAAGTTTTTTGTTGTAAGAACTTTTTTCCCTAAAAACTTTTTACCTTTTAGGTTTACAATATTGTAAAACCCGTATTGGCTAAGCAAACTCGGGAGAAGATTGAGATTCTCGGGAAAGATTGGAAAGAGATTCTTGTGACTAGCGTGAGTTGACTATTTTGTTAAGGAATTATTTCTAGATATTATATAAAGCCTTTAATTGATAGAGATTTCAGTGTGGAGCCGAGAACTTGTACCCACAATGGGGCGGAGTCAAACCAGCCGCCACACCCTATGGAAATGTGCGGCTTGGAGGGAAAGTGCCAGAAAAAGTGATGTGAGGCTTAATTTTGGATATCTAATTAGATATACTTTAGATATACTTTAAATATAGTTATATCTAATAACCAGCACAGTATTTTGCAAAGGATTTTAGGTATTCGCCGTTAAACAATCCGTGGGATGACGAAGAGCGGATGAAGTCGATAAACGTCTCGGCGAGAAGCAAAGCCGAGGTCGTTGTGGAAAAGAAATTAGCAACTTTTTTTAAACATTAAATACAAGTCGATAAGGGAACTTAATTTATTGATGATTGATTTTAAAACTTATACTTCTTTCAGATACGAATTCAAGCCGAAAAAGGCGAAACGATTAGGTGGTTGTTCCGAGTGAGCAGCGGTGATGTCGACTTCTCGATTAGGCATAATGATGCAGAGGTGGGGAAATGAAATAAAAATAAATGGTTATTCAGTCTTCACAAAGCAATCTTTAGGTGTATCCAACTTTTCGGATTTCTACTGAATTTGTGCCTGAGATTGGGTCAATGATTTGCAGAGAGTCGGGCGAGTATGTGATTCTCTTTGAGAATTTGCATGGAAAAGTGGGTTTAAATAGGCTTTTAATGCCCTAGTTATAGCTGGATAATGCTTAAAATTGTACTAAGCAAATTGTACTAGTACTTCTTCTTTTCAGCTATGGAGCAAGGACGTCAAGTACCGGGTTGAGGTTGAAGAGGCTTAGATTTCGAGTGTGCTTTTTGTAAATAAACAATTTGTAATGTAAATTTATTTACCCGTAACTTCAATACACATAAAATGATTTCTATTTTCGATTCAACTAGATTATGGCGCAAAATTTGCATAGAAAATGTGATCGAAAAAAAGAAAAATAACAAATACACTATAGATTCTTGTTACTATTTTCGATTACACTTTAGATTTTGTCACAAGAGACTCAATTTCACAAGAGAGACTTCACAAGAGACTAACAGTTACTAACAGTACTGATCACAAGAGACTAACAGTTACTAACAGTACTTTCACAAGAGACTAACAGTTCCTAACAGTACTGATCACAAGAGACTAACAGTTTACTGATCATTTGTTATCAAATAATTCAGTAAAAGAGCTTTGAACTGTCTTTTGCCTAATTTTTGACTCTCAAGTGTAAAAATATGCAAATTTGATGCCAAATTGCAAAATATGATCGAAAAAAGTAACAAGTACCTATAAAATTATGTCTTGAAATATTTTGAGAAGCTGCTTCTTTGCAGAGATTCCTTGACGATCAACATCGGATTGTGAAGGCTCATTGATCTCTTTGATGGAGGAAAAGCTTCTTGTCTGAAAGATAACCATTCAATGATTCAATGAGCTAACCATTCAATGATTAAAAACAGTAATACTAACAAGTAATACTAACAGTTTACTGATCATTTATTATCAAATGATTCAGTAAAAGAGCTTGAACCGTTTTTCCCTGACCTGGCCAAGACGACCTGGCCTTGAACCGTCTTTTCCCTGACCTGGCCAAGACAGCCTGGCCTTGAACCGTCTTTTCCCTGGCCTGGCCAAGACGGCCTGGCCTTGAACCGTCTTTTCCCTGACCTGGCCAAGACAGCCTGGCCTTGAACCGTCTTTTCCCTGACCTGGCCAAGACGGCCTGGCCTTGAACCGTCTTTTCCCTGGCCTGGCCTTGAACCGTCTTTTCCCTGACCTGGCCAAGACGGCCTGGCCCTGAACCGTCTTTTCCCTGCCCTGGCCTTGAACCGTTTTTTCCCTGACCTGGCCAAGACGGCCTGGCCCTGAACCGTCTTTTCCCTGGCCTGGCCTTGAACCGTCTTTTCCCTGACCTAGCTGGGTACAAGTGCTATATCTAAGCAAATTTAATTAATATTTCTTTATCTCTAGACACCAGAATCTTTATCTGAGGAATATTAAGTACTATATTTTATTATATATAGATAATCTAAGTCTCTTTATATTGTTTACCTTGAGTACAGTGGTGGAGGTGATTGAGTTTGACTTCTTGTTGCAGCTCTCCCTTGTGAAAAACTTAACGAAGCCCATGGAGTTGTTAACTTCATCTAAACTTTTATTTTATTTAAAAAAAATAACTGTTTTTTTACCTGGATTCCAAAAATTAATGCAACGAGAAAGATGATGGAAACGCCGATGAAACCGAAAGCTGGCAATTGAAAGTACCACGCGTAGCTGTCCACATACTTTTGTATCATCGTTCCGAAGAAGGAACCAATCTGAATTTGAAACTGTTTCAATTATTTCATCTATTGTTTAAGTGACCATATCAGCGATTGTCTTCACTATGTCGAGTATAAGATTGCCGGAGACGCGAAACACATTGTAGTACCAGATTGAAGTGTTTGCATAGTATTCCCGACAAGAATCCGTTTCCCAAAAAAAGCTAAAGAAAAGAACAGTATTCTTTAGAAGAAAAAAGCTGTAGTCTTATCAAACCTGCATGAAATTGGGGGTCCTCGCTGTTTTTTGAAATCGGAAAGATTTCGGTGGCGAGTCAACATGTGAAAGAGTTCGCAAAGGATCGAACTGAAAAAAGAATTGGCTTTAAATAAAAAGTGGTGATAAATGGGGATTCTGTTGAACCTTTTTTGCTCTTGAAAATTCATTTTTCTTTAACGGGGAAAGGGATTTCGATTGAAAAGCCAAAATTTGACTTTAGAAACTTTAGAAATCGTTGTTTTCTCTGTAATGAAGCATTAATTCTTTAATTTTAACTCTAAATTTTAATTAGTAACGGTAGAATTCCAACAAGTTTAGAAATCCGAAGCTTGTTTGTTTTATTTATTTCATTTCAACTATGTTAAGTCAAAACTTGACTTAACGACTTGACTTTTTCTGAGAAAATCTCTCAAGAGCTTTCGAATGGACCAAAGCACAAGCAAAATGCTAAATGGGGATTCCGTTGAACCTTTTTTGCTCTTTCAAATTCATTTTTCTTTAACGGGGAAAGGGATTTCGATTGAAAAGCCAAAATCTGACTTTAGAAACTTTAGAAATCGTTGTTTTCTTTGTAGCTTGGTTAATTTTTTTAATTTTAACTCTAAATTTTAATTAGTGACGGTAGAATTCCAACAAGAAATCCGAATTGTAGAAATCCGAAGCTTTCTTCTGTCTTAATTTATGTCATTTCAACTATGTTAAGTCAAAACTTGACTTAACGACTTGACTTTTTCTGAGGAAATTCTAGGTTGGCGCTTTAAACCGTGGTAAAACAACTGTTCTAATTTGTAGATAGAAAAGAAAGCGCTCAATTTCATCCATGAGAAAATAGAAAATAGAAAAGTGACAAACTATCACACGCAAAACGCTTATAACTTGCTTCAAATCTGCTGAATTGATATGATCTATAGCTCAAAAAATAGAGAATCTCAAGAGCTTTCAACTGGATCAAAGCACACCCAAAAATCATAATGCTAAAGAAAGTTACAGTGGTTGTAGTTCTGACTCGAAAGAGACCGTACTCTCGCGCAGTCGAAGTGATCGAGTTAGGCTACAACCACTGTAACTTTCTTCGGCATTAATATTTTTGGGCGTGCTTTGGTCCATTCAAAGTTTTTGAGATTCTCTATTTTTTGTGAGCTATAGATCATGTAAATTCAGCAGAATTGAAGCAAATTATAAGCGTTTGTAGTTTACGTTTGTAGTTTACGTTTGTAGTTTGTAGTTTGCAGTGCCTATGTCTAGTGTGACGGTGCTTAATATTGCATAATATTGCTTAATATTGCTCAATAGTGCAGAAATACGTAAAAAGAATGAAATTGTGCGTTTTCCTGCAAATTAGAAAGAGAATTAGAAGACAAATCTTTTATAAACTTTCTTTTAGACGGTAGTTTTACCAAACTTTAAAGCCGCAACCCAGAATTTTCTCGAAAAAAGGTCGCAACTAAAACTTGATCAAGTTAAATTAGCATTTTAGCGTATGCCAAGTAAATCATAATCACCAAAAACTCACAATAATATCAGAAACGCTCCAGAGACAGTAATATTTGGATATCTAGGCATCCATAGTGTCAGAACTGCGGCCACAAACGAATACAATGCGACACTGACCACAATCCAATGAACGATAAAGAATATGAAAGAGATTAAATCGATTAAGTGAATACTCCATAAGTATAACCATATCGATAAAATAATAGAAGAAACGATTGATAGAAATAAATATTTCTCGAATTTTCGCTGGTGAAAACGTTCGAATAAAGTTTGTGTGCGCATTTGGCGGGAAAAGAGCGATTCGAGGGATTTGGTCAACTGGTGAAAAGACGGCATATCGATCGATTTCTGTGATAAGTTGTACGTTGGAGTGAATCGTTGTGAGAAGAAATGGTAAGATTGAAGAAATAAATCGTGTGCAGCTCAGGAGTTGTGCTAGTTCTGAAGAATTTGGTTACCGTATTTTCTCTAATAGTAGTGCACCCTGAGCGCCGTCTAAATTGGTTGAAATCTAGAAAGCCGCTTATCAGAACCTATCGATGTGGGGTCGGAAAATGTAGCTGACGATGAGATCTTGACGATGATTAGAGTCTTGAGCTTCTGTGAAAGCTTAGAAACTGTAAAATGGTGATCAACTCGGCTTGCCGGGGTGCACTACTATTAGAGAGAATACGTCATTTGAAACACAAGAGTAAAGAAACGGAGAAAAATTTTGGTGCGTCGGATACAACGGATAATTAAGCACCCGCTCTTTTTTTCTCACAAACAATGAAAAGCTTTGGTTTATTTGTAACCAAATAAATGGTAAGCATTTCATGATCAATTTGGCTTTAGGAGAGTTTTAAGCAATACTTTTGATAAACAAAATCTGCAAAAGCTTCTGCAAAAGCTTGGAAACCGTAAAATAGTGCAAAAGCTTGGAAACCAACTCAGCTTGCCGGATTGGTGACTATTTTATGGTTTCCAAGCTTTTAAAAAAAGACTACTATTAGAGAAAATAATATGAATCAATTGATAATCATAATTTTGAATTTTTTGCAAAAAAAGAACAGATTTGAGTCTTTTTTTTTGAATAAATCTGTGTTGAACTTTAGAAATTTGCCAATTTAACAGAAAGCAGACAAATTTTTGCACTAAAAACCGTTTTTCAGTTAGTCCAGAAGCTGAGAAAGATCCAAAATTGGATTACTTGATTTTCAATACAATTTGAGGCAAAAATATTGTTAGCTGAGTTAGCAGTTGACTCAAAAGCTCCTTTAAAGCTCCTTTATAGTTCCTATTTAGTTCCTTTAAAGCTCATTTAAAGCTCCTTTATAGTTTCTTTATAGTTCCTTGAGGTAAAAAATATTGTTAGCTGGAGCTTTTGGAGCTTTTGAGGCAAAAACTAACAATATTGTTAGCTTTTGAGGCAATTTGAGGCAAAAATATTGTTAGCTGAGTTAGCAGTTGATCAAAAACAAGATCAAGATCAAGATCACTTGTCCAATCAGTCAATATAATCAAAATTTCTATCGCTAACTTGTTGCAGAATCTTATTATTGAAATGAGTCAGCGATTAGGGTCAATTTCCATTTTTTTTCAAGCGATTAGCACCATTTTCAATCATTTTGAGCAGCTTAAGGACACGTCAGTGAAAAGGGAGAGATTTCTCTGTTGAAATCTTAAGTAAAAAAATGTTTTTCGAGATAAAAACTGAGACTTTGCTGAAAATTTGATGATGAAATGAGAAATTTTGGCGAACTTTCGCAATATTTCGCAAGAAAATTCTTGTAATTTGAAAGCATTTAGCGCTTTAAGCTCTTCAACTAACTTTACCGTTAACAGCAATCAAGCCAGGTGTTCTCTGTGCGCGCGTAATCGTTTTCCATCCGGCACTTTCCATCTGAGCATTATTTTAAGTCAATTAGGCTTACGCATCTGGTTCTTTCCCAAAGCCTGTGACGTTCTCTGTGCAGCAGCGTAATCGCACGCTTTCTGGCACTGGCCCACTGCAGAATCCTATCATTGAAATGAGTCAGCGATTAGGGTCAATTTTCACTTTTTTTTCAAGCGATTAGCATCATTTTGAATCATTTTGAGCAGCTTAAGGACACGTGAAAAGGACAGTGAAAAGGAAGAGATTTCTCTGTTGAAATCTTAAGTAAAAAATGTTTTTCGAGATAAAAAATGAGATTTTGCTGAAAATTTGATAATGAAATGAGAACTTTCGCAATAGTTCGCAAGAAAATTCTTGAAATTTGAAAGCATTTAGCGACTTTAAGCTCTTCAACTAACTTTACTGTTAACATTTTCAATAACCAATCAATAGTCCTCATCTCGCAATCAAGCCAGGTGTTCTCTGTGCCCGCGTAATCGTTTTCCATCTGGCACTTTCCATCTGAGCATTATTTGAAGTCAATTAGGCCTACGCATATGGTTCTTTCCCAGCCTCTGACGTTATCTGTGCATCTGCGTAATCGCGCGCTTTCTGGCACACGGCCTTTCCTTATACCTTTCCATTTCCTCGTTGGAATCAGCTTTGCGCAGAGGCGATAACGTGACCAATGAGGCTTAGCCGAGGTGCGTTTATTGCTGGTTGAAAACTGATACCAATTACCCGTCGCTTTCTGCCCTGAAATATGGGTGTTAGCGCAATTTTTGGAAGGCCCTCGGGGCCAAAATGACTTGAATAAGAAAGATTGCAATCAATGGCAAGGACACTCAGGTACCCAAATCCGTTTTATTCTTATCTTTCAAGACTTATTTTCATCAAAATCACCATGAACCATTTCTATGCTAGCCTAAAAACAATATTCTTGCCAAAGCCAATTTGTGAGCTTGTGAATGGACATTAATGCACAGTTTTACAGAAATTTGAGAAAAATTCATTGGACTTGCTTGAATGTGTGCAAAATTGCAATGAATTACTTGCTGCTTTCATATAATAAACTTTTTATATATATGCTTTATTCAGTTGAATAGCGATAAGACAAAATGACAATAATTACCCGGGACACCACTCAAAACACACCCAAAAGATAAATGGATACCTTTTGCACAGAAATTTCTAGATTTCTGTTCTTAGCTTTAAGATCTACATACCCTTGGATTTCATTTTGTTTAGCTTTTCGTTTTCCCGATATTCTCTTGTATCTTGATGTGTGATTTCATTGATTGATAGAATTCTAGCAAAATACTACCATTGAACAATTGCATTTTATTGAAATATTGCATCTACCCGAATTTCTCTAAACTTTTTATTCAGCATCAACACCAAAAAAAGAAATTATGTATCGAAAATGCGCTTTGATTGACAAAATTTGAGAATATTATTGTGTAAAATGGTGGGTTTTTTTTGAGAAAGACTAGATCAAATCGAAAAAGGAAATAAGAAAAAGAAAAAAAATGATCAAATTATATTGTCACCGTGAATTTCATAAAGCGCTGAGATTGAGCAAAATGAGACCACAAATGGACCTAGTTTATAGAACGATTATGGAAAACAAAAAAAGAAATAGGTCCTGGCCGGGATCGAACCGGCGACCTTGCCCGTGTGAAGGGCACGTGATAACCACTACACCACAGGACCGATTGAAAGCGACCCGAAAGAGGCCATCTTAAAGGGACGTAACTGCATAGAAAATCATTTAGTCAAAAGCGTTCTTTGAATTAAATTTCCTTTTGAATAGCTGAATATCTTTATGTGAAATAAAGAATCCAAAAAAGTCTCTATATAATTTAGCCCCTTTAAAACGAAATGGAAATGACAGATCATGACTTAAAGTTTCTCTTCAACAAAACAAAAACATTCAAAACAAAAAGCAACTAGGTCCTGGCCGGGATCGAACCGGCGACCTTGCCCGTGTGAAGGGCACGTGATAACCACTACACCACAGGACCAATGAAACAACACCCGAAAGAGGCCACCCTGACACAAGGAAAGGGGGAAAAAAGATGAGAGAAAGATAGGGAAAGATAGGGAAAAGATTTTGCGTCGAAAAGTGGCGCTACCCGTGATGGTTGTAAAATTCGATTTTCTTATCGAATGAGTATTTTAGAAAACGGAATTTGATCAAAGTTTAGCACGAATTTTAGATAAGCAAATTGAATTCAAAGATTTTAAACTGATGGTGGTGGAGCATAGTAGTCATCCGTTATGATTATCGTCGATCGTCGACTGAAAAATTCGTTCTTTTGTAAAGAAATCGTTAGAATGAGCTGTTAGATGAGTGCTTTTTGAACTAGCGGATGACCGTATAGCAACAACTTTTTGGAAAAGCATCTGGCAAATGCTTATTCTAAAAGTGTCAAGTGTTAGATAGAGAATTGTAGCCCTAATTCTCGGCAACATTTATCTACCAAAAGCTTCTCGATTGGACTTATATAACTCATTTTACAAGCGCTTGAATGAGTACTAGTCATCATCTCTCCAATTTGCCATTTGGCCGCTTTTTTTATGCAAAAATAGCGAGTCCTTTTTGCTTTTTGTGCTTATTAATGAGAGCTTTTTGCTTTTTGTGCTTTTTAATGAGTGCTTTTTGACTACGAGATGGCTGTATAGCAATAACTTTTTAGAAAAGCATCTGGAAAAGCATCTAACTTATTCTAAAAGTGTCAAGTGTTAGATAGAGAATTCATTCTTTAAGTTTACAAGACTAATTCTTACTATTAGCTTTAAATAATATCAGATATTTATCAGAAACATTCAGCTTTACCTGAACGAATCAAACGGATCGACAACTTCAGCGATTTGCGGTTTCTCTGAGCAATTTCCATGAACTGCCTGCAAATTAAGTAGTTTTATATGAAAAACTAGATATCCTTTAGATTTTAAAGCTTTTAAATGCCAAAACTTTCAATTTCAAACATCTTTAACTTACCTTTTTCCTCTTAACGATATTCTTGAAAGCTGCGTATTTCACTGACAATGAATAAGCCTCAAAGAGACAAAAGATCGATGTAGTGGCAAGTAAAATACTAAAAATTGAAATTGAAAAGCAAAAATTTAAAAACTTACCAAAATTCTAGAGATAACGCTCGTCCACTGTTCAAGAATTGCACCAAACAGATCACTAAACAAAGAGATATTGGAAAGTGTAAGCAATCGCAAGCAGTGCAAGCAATCGCAAGCAGTGCAAGCAATCGCAAGCAGTGCAAGCAATTTTGTCCAAGCAATCGCCTAAAGTAATGCTCACCTGAGTATACAAAGATGCTGAGAGCGATGCCGAGTACGAGAACCGATAGAGTGAGGTATGGAAGTACTAGATACGGTAAAACGAGCTTCAACGAGACACCGAAAGCCATCAGAGTGATCAACCAGATCATCTACAATTTGGAGAATAAGCTTTTCATCTATTTGACTGAATATCTAATCTTAAACATACCAATATAATTAACAATGGCAAAAAGTAGGTGAATGGCAAGGCTTTCTCGAGTTGAGAGTGATCGAAAGCATAGCTGAAAAGGGAAATTTGTTTTTGAGCGAAATTGAGCCAGCTTATTTTAAGTGCATTCATCTTTTAAGCTAAGCTTTTGAGCTAAGCTTTTAAGCTAAGCTTTTAAACTAAGCTTTTAAGCCAAGCTTTTAAGCTAAGCTTTTAAACTAAGCCTTTAAGCTTTTTAGCTAAGCTTTTAAGCTAAGCTAAGCTTTTTCCTTTCTAACCCAACTTACAGTTTACCTGAACGGATAATCAATGATCAAAGATTTAAAGATAAAATAGACAGTATTTTGAACTCACGACGATTCCGATTGAGCAATTCGAAAGATGAGAAAAGCGATTGAGAGACCTGCTGATAGAGCGTCACACAGTGATACGCAAATGATCGCGCCCAGGGCTCCCGCCGCCTGGAAAGGAGTTCATCATCTTATTGATATTTTTCACTAGTCTACTACTTGTGAAAGGCTTCATTATTTACTAGCCTTGATTCATCATGTCTGAAGTAAAGGATGTTGGATATTCTATTTAAAAGAAACCTTTCCAAAGTCACTTTTTCTACACACTTTTCCTTTCATCATTTTTCTCTTTTTTTGTGAATTGAAACTAAGTTTATCATTTCAATATCATTTTTAATTTATTTGATTGTTAAAGATTGAGATTTTTTTCATCAATTCATCAATCAGCTGACTGGATAGAAGTCTTGTGCCTAGTCGGGGGATTAAGGGTTCGATTCCGGTGGCTAGAAAGATAAAGATAGGTTGTTTTTCTCATTATGGGTGTTACTTAACACCCATAATTGTTACTTTGGGTAATAGGGGTAATTAGGGGGTAAAAATTTCCTCCTTTATGTTTTAATTCATTATTCATTTCGAATAAATATACTTTATTTTTCAATTATTTCTTTTATTAGGTTAATGAATGAAATACGGTTAATGAAATACTAAAAAACATTTGCGACTACCCGACTGTACGAGGGGCGTTACAGTACAGTACGTTACAGTACGAGGGGCGTGGGGTACTATTACAGTATTTACGGTAACTTTAGAAAGCTCTCACTAATAGTGGAACAGATCGCTAGAAAGCTTTCTGTTAAACACTGGTTTTAATGAAAGTCTTTTCGTTTTTTGATTAATTTTTAATGGTTTCAGCAATGAAAATAAGAAATTAGGTTTATAAAGTTCAGTAATAGATTTGTAAAATTAGACTTTAAAAGATGTGAAATGTGAAAACGAACCGCAAGGCAGGGTGGCCCGTCACCCATACAAGGCCTTTCAAGGCACCCGTCGTGATTTGACGATGCTAGAATTTCCTTTTTAATATATACAGTACTGGACAACGAAATATCATATTTGAAAACAAACTTGAATTCGAATAGCTTTCCAATAGATCTACAGTACTGGACAATGAAATATGATATTTAAAAAAACGATCGTCACTTTCGCGCATCTGTAACTCAATTGTCTTCGAGTTTAAACTATTAGTGTTATACATTTTCTGAAAGCTCTTTTCAAGGGCTACACAATGGTAATATTAATATTTAGAAATACGGTAAAGACAAGGGAGTTACAGACGCGCGAAATTGACGATCGTTTTTCAAATATCATATTTCATTGTCCAGTAGTGTGTGTGTTGTGTTCGATTTAGATTTCCGTCCGATTTAGATTGAATCTAAATCGGACGCCCAATATAGACTGTAATCTAAATCGGACGTCCGCGATAAGTTCAATCTAAATCGGACGTCCGATTTAGATTGAATCTAAATCGGACGGAAATCTAAATCGGACACAACATTTATATAGATGTCGTAACCATTTACGAAATTCAGCCACTAACGAATGATTCGTTAACGGCTAGCCGATTACGAATGAATTTTTTCGCTAGCCGTGTACAATTTGTAATCGGCTTCTGCGAACATGGCTCGACTCAAATGATTCGTTAACGGCTGAATTTCTTAAACGCCTACGACATCTATATATAAATACTTTATTTAGAAAGAAATAAAGTGCGAAATAAAGTAATATATATAATTTTCAGATAAAAATCCAGAAAATGAATCAAAATGAAACCAAAAATAAGAAAACAAATCAAATTTCAATTCTAGATTTAGAAATAAATGACCGCTAGTCAATTTTCTAGCGGAAATGAGGTAAGGCTTTTGAGATAATGAGAATAAAGTGATGATTATGTTTTGAAATATATTTTGACGACTTTGAAAACAACAACTTATTAATCAATAATATTTAGATTTTAAGATTTCAAATTTTCAAAGAAATCTCTAGGGAAATTGTCGAAAAAAAACGTGTCGATGAGGGAAAAAGATTATGTTGAATCAGAAAAGGGAAAAGGATTTTGAGAAAAGAAAACATGGAGCTTGTTTTTGTGGAAAAGTTGTACAATTGTACAAAGTTCTACAATTGTACAAAGCTCTACAATTGTACAAAGCTCTACAATTGTACAAAGCTCTACAATTGTACAAAGCTCTACAATTGTACAAAGCTCTACAATTGTACAAAGCTCTACAATTGTACAAAGCTCTACAATTGTACAAAGCTCTACAATTGTACAAGGTTCTACAATTGTAAGTTCTACAATTGTACAAAGCTCTACAATTGTACAATCGCTAGTTAACAATAGAATTGTTAATTAGCCATTTCAATTTAACAATTCTATTGTTTATTTTATTATATTATCATTGGTTTAATTTCATTTCATTTAGTACATTCAGTTTTGATTTTAAAGCTAAACAGTCACTTAACTTAACCGTAATATCAAAAATCCCCTTTTGATTTAAAAAAAAGTGACACCTCTTGAACATGAGAAGACCAAGGAAAACACAAAAAGTATCATTTTTTTCTCTTTTTCTCCTGAAAAAGCCGCAGAAACTGCTCGAATTTCATGTGTGTTCTCTTTCGTTTTTAAACCTTTCCAACTCTCAATTTTTATGTCACCCTTTTTCTCCGTGAAACGTAATATTTTCACTCGCTTTACCTGCAAATTTGAGGTAGAATTTTGTTCATTAATTATCGTAAATACTGTAATAGTATCTCACTCCCATAATAACGGTGCGGAGCGTTGCGTAGTCTAGCTTTGAACGCGTTTTTCTCGACACTGGTTTATGCTACAATGCGCGCTTAGGTATCAAAAAATAGCCCTCAATTTCAGCTATTTTTTGATACCAAAGACGCATTTTTTGGAAGTACGGGCGCTTTGAAAAAAATGAAATACTAAAAAACTTTTGCGACTACCCGACTGTACGAGGGGGGTGGGGTACTATTACAGTATTTACGGTATGTAGTATATGGCTAGCACAGATAGCGTCAAGAATCCACTAGAGCTTCAAGATCAAGATCATCTACAGATAATTTAAAGGTTTCGAGACTATTGGACTCTCTCAAAACTCTGGGGGGATCGATTCCAAATTCTGGCAGTTCTTATTGGAAAAGAGTTATAAACGAACTAATTGGAGGTGACTGGAATTTCTAAAACGAAAGAACCTCTCCTAGAACTAAATACTAAAAAACTTTTGCGACTACGCGACTGTACGAGGGGGGTGGCGTACTATTACAGTATTTACGGTAACTTTAAAAAGCTCTCACTTATAGTAGAAGAGATCGCTAGAAAGCTTTCTGTTAAATACTGGTTAACCTCAACTTCTGCAAGTTAGATAAAAGCTTTCATTCTAAATTAAATCTAAAAATGCTAAAAATCGAATAATTTGTTAATGCTAACGTTTTTCCTAAGTAATCTGACGAAAAGATCAAGTTGAACAAGGCTAAATATCGATAAGTCTATAGAAAAGTTTATTAAAAGATTTAAAAAAAATGTGATAATAAACTAGTGAACTATAGTGCCTAAATTGATTCGAGTCGAGTCGATGAATCTAAACTGTAATAATCGTAAAAGATCAAACAAGGCTTTCTTATTGTTAGAAAAGTTCAATTCTAGATTTATTGAGTCTTGAAAGTGTAGAAAAAGCCTTTTTTTCAAAAACTTTAGCTTTAGATATCAAAAATCCATCGCCGCACATAAAATTTGCGAAAGAAAAATGGCAAATCGTTGGTTTTTTTGAATCAGAAGCATAAAAAAGTGGATTTGAAAGACGGGAAAAGACATCACTCATTCAAAAGAAAAAAAAAAGGTTCAAGTTTAGTCCCAAGTCGCCACTTTACACCTCCTTTTAAGGCTTTTTAACGAACTTTTCTATAGAAAACTTGCATACTAAACACTTCCGGACTTGAGAAGTTACAGAAAATTCTTTAAACTTGATTTCTAAAGGAATTAGATTGCTCTGAAAGTTTGAAAGTTTGAGAATTTGGTTTAAAAAAACTGATGAACTAGATTCGAGAAAGGGAGTGGCTTTGTACTGACTTTTTAACCAAAATAAACAAATGATTCATAAGGAAATTTCCAAAAAGCTTTGTCAATGAGTCAATGAAAGCTTTCTCGCTTAAGAAACGTTCACAATTGAATATTAATGTTAACTGGATTATTTAATTGTTTGATTGTTCAATCCAATTAATCAGCAATAGAATCAACGATAGAATCAGCGATAGCAACCAGCGATAGCAATCAGCAATAGCGAATTTTTGATCTTTAATAGTCTGGAAGTTAGTTAGTTAAGTTAGTTATTGATTTAAGAACTTTTAAATAACAATCTTATTTGAAGATTTGAATATTTCATTCAAAAACATTCAAAAAGCCATTGCAAACCTTTGCAAACCTTTCAAACCTTTGCAAAACAATTTCTCATAATAATTTGCTGAATGAACGTTGCTTAAACACTTGCCAAAGGTATGCCAAAGGTTGCAAAATGTGAATGAATAAGAGAATAGACAAAGGAAAGTGTTTGAAGGAGTCTAGAGTTGAGTTTATTTGTTAGATGTTGGATGGGTGATGGAATGGGAGAAGGCTAGTTCATTTTAGAGGCTGGATCCATCTCTTTTTTCATCATTCTTCTCTCAGCTTTCGATTCGAAAAGAAAGGATTCTTTGTTTGTCTCAAGAAAGAGTCATTGAATGAAGAAAAAGGAAAGAAGTCGATCCAGATTTGTGGCCACAAATCGATTTTTGATCGGCTGGGGGAATTCTAGTGGATAGGAAGTCATTGAATGAGATTTTGGGATCTTGAGGAGGCCTAGATTGAGTTATAGATTTGGCTAAATCTTCTTTAGAAGATCTGAGGATTGAGTTATCGATCTGAGTCAGAGAAATAAAGCTTTGGAGTTCAAAGAAGTTAACTCCTGATCGCTTTTTGTTTTTGTAACTGTAATAAACTATAAAAATGCTTGTAACTGAAAATTTAACAGATTTAGTTTAATATTTGGCTCTTTAAAAAATAAAAAATAAAACTAGAATTGAATGAAAATGAAATTCTGAAGTCAAAACAGTTTTTGATAAAGGAAATACTTTTTGAAAGTAGTCAAAATCATCAAAATATGTATTGATTTAGGTTCTTTTAAAGTTCCTTTATAGTTCCTTTATAGTTCCTTTATAGTTCCTATTTAGTTCCTTTAAAGTTCCCTTATAGTTCCCTTTATCGTTCCTTTATAGTTCCCTTATTGTTAATAGAATACATTTATAGTACGTAAAACTATTTGCTTTTAAAAATTTACTATACTTTGACCTAGATTAAGATAGAATTCGATGATTCAATAAACTTAAAGCTAAAAAACTAGCTAAAGTTAAAGCTAAAGCTAAAAAACTTTAGTAAAGCATATGGAAGCTTTTACTTTATTTCATTGAACAACTTCATTCATTTATAATTATAAAACAAGATCAAAATATTATCAAAAGCTAAAGAACTTCATGTTTTGGTCGATTTAAGAGCCGGAGAATTCAGCTGGGAGAGTTTTGAGTGAGGAAAAAAAGAAAAAAGAGAAAAAAGAGAAAAAGATGCAGTCAGCTGTGTGATTGAGGCCATGTGAAGAGGAGAAATGTGTGAAAAAAGAAGGAAAAGGGAAAAGATCTTCACGAAAAAACCACAACAAAATTTTCTTAGGCATTTCCATTGACTTTTCATTCATTAATCTATGAAGCTTTCTTTTACACTCTGAGAAATATGGTAGTGGTTTTAAGTGAGTTTTGTTGAAACGGTGACTACAAAGTTGACTACAAAGTACAAAAGTACAAACAGAAATGCAAAATCGAATACATTTCTTTCTCAAGTTCTAAGCTTAAAGACTTTAAAAGCACTTAAAAAATAGCTTTTCAAAAGCTTTAAAGGTTTTTAAAAAGCTTTTAACTGTCAGAGTCAGTTCTTGCA